TAAATGCCTATACAGTTATATGTAACTATTTTCAAAAACACGAGAACGCGAGAACGCGAGATTGCGACATTGGTCAAGTGTCGAGATCTCGCGTTCTCGTGTTTTTGTGCTTATAGCCTATACAGTTGTATGTAACTATTTTCAAAAACACGAGAACGCGAGAACGCGAGAAAGGCGAGATTGGTCAATTCTCGCGATCTCGCGTTCTCGTGTTCTCGCGTTTTTGTGCTAATTGCCTATACAGTTATATGTAACTATTTTCAAAAACACGAGAACGCGAGAACGCGAGATTGCGACATTGGACAAGTGTCGCGATCTCGCGTTCTCGTGTTTTTGTCCTTATAGCCTATACAGTTGTATGTAACTATTTTCAAAAACACGAGAACGCGAGATTGCGACATTGGTCAAGTGTCGCGATCTCGCGATCTCGCGTTCTCGTGTTTTTGTGCTAATTGCCTATAGAGTTATATGTAACTATTTTTAAAAACACGAGAACGCGAGAACGCGAGATCGCGACACTTGACCAATGTCGCAATCTCGCGTTCTCGCGTTCTCGTGTTTTTGTGCTAATTGCCTATACAGTTATATGTAACTATTTTCAAAAACACGAGAACGCGAGAACGCGAGATTGGTCAAGTGTCGCGATCTCGCGATCTCGCGTTCTCGTGTTTTTGTGCTAATAGCCTATACAGTTGTATGTAACTATTTTCAAAAACACGAGAACGCGAGAACGCGAGATCGCGACACTTGACCAATGTCGCAATCTCGCGTTCTCGCGTTCTCGTGTTTTTGTGCTAATTGCCTATACAGTTATATGTAACTATTTTCAAAAACACGAGAACGCGAGAACGCGAGATTGGTCAAGTGTCGCGATCTCGCGATCTCGCGTTCTCGTGTTTTTGTGCTAATAGCCTATACAGTTGTATGTAACTATTTTCAAAAACACGAGAACGCGAGAACGCGAGATTGCGAGATTGGTCAATTCTCGCGATCTCGCGTTCTCGTGTTTTTGTGCTAATTGCCTATACAGATGTATGTAACTATTTTGTAAGGTAATTCGTCACGGTAAACTCGCGTGCAACGGCGTGAACTGAGGTGCGCACAAACCATTGTATCCAACATCTTTAAGACACTGCTTATTACTGTCTACAAACTCAAAAAGTTGGAAGAATGATGTTGGATGATGAATAAAATCTCACGCTCGTGTCTTTTGACATCAAAACGACGAAATAAACCACAAGGTTCATAGAAATGTCTGCTTTGCAAATTAATGCAGTTTATTTCAAAATGGCTGCTCAAAATCACGTGACTTTTGACAATGTCAGAATGCACATTTTCCAAGTCTTTTGATTATACAGAAATATATATGTAGACTGGTAACATAATAAAGTCAAGAACACGCTCCCTTTCTTGCCTGTGAACTGACTGAATTTGACAAATATTGTCTGACAACTAACAGTCAAATAACCAACATGGATGCCAAATGGTATTTTTCAGAAAGAGTTTGTTTGTTTGTTTGTTTGTTGTTAACGCCGCACTCAGCAATATTCCAGCTATATGACGGCGGTCTGACATCAAATATATAAACACTCATTTGGGTGGCCCATTCGTCTAAGGCGCCGCGATTCTCTGTGCAGAGTTGCGTCAGTTGGGCACGCCCGAAACCTATGATTGTGGGTTCGAATCCCGGTTCGCCCTGATTATGTTTCTTGTTTCGCCATACCCGTTCTCGTGGGCTTCATCGAAGAGGTAAACGTCTGAGACCTGCATCACTTCGGGCTTTCCTCTCATATTAAGCTGACACACTGTGATATAACTGGAATACTGATAAAAGCAGTGTTAAACCCAACTCTCGCACTTACTCTATAGATGACTACGCGTTTAATCGCTAAGAACATCGAAGAACGAAGCGGGATGTATCATACGATTAATCATGACCTCATTTCTGATGATTCTATTGTGACCTTGTAACATCATAACGCAGTGAGTGACGACGTTAATTGTGAGAGGGAAGTGACCGTCAGTTTGCTCTCCATGGATGTTGTGGTACTTCTATCGTAATGGCGGCTGCATGAAGACGATAAACATCCCAGTGTCACCCACAGGGTACGGGTAATTTACATGTTTGTCGTGTCTCGAAATATGAATTGTAAATAGTGTATCGTGCCAAATATATGGTGAGTTACTGAATAAATACAGCAGTTTCAAGAAAGTGGTAATTGTATTTATAATGTTAAGTGTATTTTACAACATGGACCAGGTTTATATTGTATCTTATGGGTGATGTCGGGATCGAGTTATCGCCCTTGATGAATTGTTTGTTTATTTAAGGGTTAAGATAATGATTTTGTATATCATTGATTATTAAGTTCATGTTCATGTACAGAATATAGACGTATGTTTATATGAACTGAATGATTGTGTGAATATGTATGTGTATGAAACCTATGCAGTATTGTTTTTATAATGTTATTGTTTTGTACATTCAAGGATGTCATTATCTACTCTGGCAATAAACACTCACACCCGTAGCCTATGTTTGAAATTGTATTTTCCTTCACAATCCCCGGTTACAATATGACAATCGGTTTTGGGAGAAAAGGTACGTGTAATCGACCTAAGGATTTGTGTGAGCATATGCGGGAAATACCCGCCTTAAATAGGGGTAAATATTTTTAAACCTTGTATATTTTATCAACATCCTTAAAGAGGCTGTACATAATGTTGATATCTCATATAATCATTAAACGACTCGTGGTTGTTGTTTATTGTACAATAAAACACTAGCCCCTCATTGTTTATTCTCCCTGCAGTGTTTTATTGTACTCCCACTCGTCGTTTATTTCTTTAACAGTGGCCCGCTCATTTATGATAACATGCGGGCGGTTTAATGATAGTTTTATCCATTTTAACTATAAAATAACGTAAAGCGGGATGTTTTGTAGTCAGGTTGGAGCGGATGAAAATATAATTAATTTTGTATTTCAAATTGGTCTATGAGAATTTTGCCTTGCATGAATATGCTAGCCGTATAGTGGGGAAACTCACTGGCTTGTGATTATTTCTGTAACTGTAGTACTGCTGGTGCGGCTTTAAGCAATATTACTCACTCACTCACTGACGGTAATAGTTTTGTTTCCAGCTTTCGGACACATTTATGTTTTCACTATCATTGGACATTCATGTACACAATTTCTTATGTTTAATTATATTGAGCATATTGAGGGTTTTATCATAAAGAACATAGGAAACTGTAACAACGGGAGATGACTCAGACTTTGTGTATGTAAATTACATAGCATTTTCAAGCTCAAGTCATAAGTTTGCTAAATGCTACTTGGAGAATGAAGAGCATGAAAGAAGCATGACCAAAGGACTACTAACGTGCGCATGGGCCTTGACCTTGTGATATTACGCATGCGCACGGACAGCGTCTAAAACGCGAGAACACGAGAACGCGAGATCGCGAGAAAATGAAATGTCGCATTCTCGCGTTCTCGCGATTTCGTTATTTTGTGGCCTAATTTGACAAGTCGAGATTGCGAGATTGCGAGATTTTGCATCATGTCCAAATGTCGCATTCTCGCGTTGTCGACTTTTGACAAAAAGTGCTATGTACCAAAAACACGAGAATGCGAGATCGCGAGAACGCGAGATTTGGGCCAAATCTCGCGTTCTCGCGATCTCGCATTCTCGTGTTTTGGGCATATTTACCTCGTTTCCAAAGGTCGAGATCGCGAGAATGCGGGATCGCGAGAATGTCCCTTACAGTATTCCATAGCAGAGTAAGACCACGTTGAAACACAAACCACTCTCGGAAACAGACATGTTATTTCACTCACGAAAATACCATTTTCAATTTACATATAATATAACACATGTATATTGATGCCTTCCTATGTGTTATCTTATCGGGAGTTACCCCCGGGGTGATTCCGAGTTTAGAATAAGACCCCAGCAACCTATGCTTGCCGTAAAAGACGACCAAATGGATAGTGATCAGACATGGCTCGTCGCTGTCATGCATCCCGACGACGCGGGGGCGGTCGGGTAGCCTAGTGGTTAAAACGTTCGCTCGTCACGCCGAAGACCCAGGTGCGATTCCCGACATTGGTACATTGTGTGAAGCCCATTTCTGGTGTCCCCCGACCTGATATTGCTGGAAAATTGCCCAGTGTATTTGGTGTAGATTATAGTACTTACAGGTCACTATGTTGTAGCTGGAATATTGCTTGAGGCGTTATTAAGTAACAAACAAATAAACAAACAAGCAAAACAAACAAACAAACAAACAAGAGGTTACTGCCGGACTCCATACAAAAATCCATTTGTGTTTTGTCTGCATACTTTGGAAATGATAGAAGCGTCGTAAAATCCTGCTTATCCCAAAACCACTGTCAGTTTGAAAATATAGCAATGGTTTGACACTGCAGTGAAAGCTGTCGGGATTTGCAAACATAAAACTAAAGCTGTTCGGTTGTGTTGATTGTATCGTTAATAAACAAGGTATATGTTACAAGCAGGTACAATATAACACATTCACAATATCACACTCTGCTTAACGGTAAAAAATCTTTGGTCAGTATTTGAGTTTTCTGCCACTCAGGAATACAACGCCAAGACACAACAGTAGATATCACATAGACTTCACCATATGACAGACATGGAGTTCAGTGAGTACATGGCCATGGGTACGCGGAGCAAGCTACATGGAACAGAGCTGAAACGTTTTGAATAAACATCATACAACTTTGTACACCTGTTAGTACAACATGGTATTAAAAAACCCAAAGAACAACAGCAGAGACAGAAGCCTGGACATACGCCATAGCTATAAATTGTTGTTGTTGTTGATTTGTTGTTTAACGCCGCACTCAGCAATATTCCAGCTATATGACGGCGGTCTGTAAATAATCGAGTCTGGACCAGACAATCCAGTGATTAATATCATGAGCATCGATCCTGACAATTGGGATCGATGACATGCGTCAACCAAGTCAGTGAGCTTGACCACCCGATCCCGTTAGTCGCCTTTTACGACAAGCATAGCCACCTTAAACGGCAAGCATGTGTTGCTGAAGACCTATTCTACCCCGGAATCTTCACGGGTCCATGGCTATAAATACTGAGAGTTATGTCATGTTTAAGTGACAGATCAATACCAAAGTCCTGTATAGGTGGACGAGGACCGAAGTGACGCGTGCATGGAATAGGGACACTGTCGTTCATGAGAAGATACATGGTGTTTGTACAGGGGAAAAGGCTTATATAAAGACTCTATAAACTACCGGGCAAAATTAAGTATATCCATTTTAGATGCTGGCAAAAAATCGAAACAAACAAGAATGCTTATTTGATGATGATATATTTGATACTGGTATCATATTTGTGTTTTGACCCTTAAGTTTGCAGTGTTTCGGCGACTGTTTTCAGCGTAGTAAGGTTTTGATAACGCTTGGAATGTTTTGGTCAAATCCAATTTTCAAGAGTGAGAGAGAGAGAAATAAAAATATCTAAATATAATATATATATGAAAATATAATAAATATATGAAAATATATCAGTGTCCTTGTACACACGTGAATGATTTGTATATGGACAAGCTATAATCTATCTTTATGTATCTGAGACTATCTGACCAACCTTTACCTTGATGTGTATATACATATACCCTATATCGCTGCCCAAAATATCCATCATATACCTATACATCGAGAGAAAAAAACATACTTTTAGAGGCGTGACTTACACAGTAAAGTTAAATGTTCTAGCAATATTACAACTACGATTATACTTTTATAAGCGTTGATTGTGGGAACATGCCACACTCACTGTAAACGACCGTGTCAGGTGATCTGTCGTACTATATATACTTTCATACAAATGGCATCAGCACGTGACAATAGCGTCCTGATTCAAGGGAGGTAACTGAGCTTAGAGCTACTATTGTCTTGTTTTTTACAACACACTAAAAAAAAAAGTCTTAAAAGGCACACCTGGTGTTATACAACTCTCATCATTCAACCTTCCGTGTGATGTCGCATTAACTAACAGAGTTCAACATAATGGGATTGTCAAGAAACTTACACTACAGTAGGATATACACCTGGAAAAAAGGCCAGCATCGCCCGCTCAATCTTTCCATATGAAATAGCCATCTTATCCTGCAATAATGATTATACTTCCTTTCAATTGCTCTTTCTCTTAGCCCCACATAGTAATGACTCAGTACTGGATCATCTGGAGGAACATACAGAGTCCTTGTAGACATGTATGTACCTTGGATCAATGCTGTATGGAGATGTATCAAGTAGGTACATCACACACACACGTACGTACGCACGCACGCACGCACGCACGCACGCACGCACGCACACATAAACACACATTGGATATATGACAATATTAAACGGTTGTTGCTCACTTGTTTCCAGGTTACACATACTGTCATTGTCTCGTGTTACAATACAAGCTATGTGCATTTCTACATGTGTAAAATACAGGCACAAAAGGTCATCTTTCAAATAATACTATTAATGCACAAATAATAGGAACAAATAGTTCTAACAGTTGAAATAGGAAACTGACACTAACTAAAGTATAAAAATAACATCTTTAGAACAAAAACATTTAAATTTGTTCACTATGGTTAGAATAAATATGTACACGTATTCACACTATTGCTGAAGTACTGCCGACGTGGCTTGAAGTGTGAACTAAATTAAAGCCACAACACTCTTTCTATAATCATTAGAAATCTCTGCTAAAAGCAGAGCACATTGTACGATTCTGACTATATCATAAGCATTGATTTGTGAATCCCTATGAAATAGTGATGATACACACTCATGGTAAACATTATGTATATATACATTAATATGTACATTATAAACATATAGTCGTTACTAAACAGTGCGATGCATGGTATACATATAAAACATTAGGACATGAAATCAGTAGTAATATGTATAATTGTTGCATAGGATGGTGCTAAAATGTTGGCATGTACAAGAAAAATACCACACCATGTTCATAAATAACCTTTAAAGAAACCAGCATCTATAGAAGTGCTATTGCTATGTACATACATGTATTTACATAATGTATATGGCTACCGTATTTACAGTATCTACATCTACAGCTTCACAACCAGATACACCTGAAGATGACAAGGCTTCTCTGTGATGTCGCAGATGTATCCAGATGTATTTTAGACACGCCCTAGCAGGAGCTGTCTGTCTTCTCACACACGTAGACAGGCTCCTCTGAAACAGTGGTTGGAGTAGTTCAACGTGACGTCCTTTACTCAACATGCCCGGTGTCAAAATAACGTGTCTCCACATGTTAATTAAAGCCTACGATTTAACTTTATGTTCTGTCAAGATGGATAGACTGGTTGCTACACAAGTGATGCTGTAATAGAAAACAATTCACTAAACACCAAGACACATAATGAACTACATGATTGTTTGTTTGTTGTTTAACGCCGAACTCAGCAATATTCCAGCTATAAATAATCGAATCTGGACCAGTTAATCCAGTGATTGACATCATGAGCATCGATCTATGCAAATGGGGTACGATGACATGCATCAGCAAAGTCAGCGAGCCTGACCACCCGACCCCGTTAGTCGCCCCTGGCGACAAGCATGGGTTGCTGAAGACTAATTCTAACTCGGAACTTCAAGGGACACATGATTGTGATCATTTGGCGAGTTTAACAAGGAAAGAAAGTCTAGTGTCCTGAAACAAGGAGGTACGGAAACAAGCAGAGAAGCGAATGTGGGATTCGAACCCACGTCCATACATCACGCAACACCTTAAGGATGCACGGTGGACATTGAATTGCGGCGCCTTAGATGACAGTGCTGCGTGTGACCCCTGAAGGTCCTAACAATGACACTTGACAGCATATAAGGTCAAGAGCCTTGTCTTGATATTTCACGCATCATTTATCCCAAGCATGTGTACCACAAACTGGGCTTCATTAGATATTTTGCAATTTTGCTCATGTTTTTAATCAAGGTGCCCAAGTGAGTTGATTCACCGCCATTTTGTTTGAAGCAAATGCAAGTGCTATCAGAGATGTAATCTGATTGGTCAATAGGAGGAACATAGAAGTGATCGTGCCTGGAAATTCCAGCGTAGTTCGGCAAGGGTGGAAACTGAACTTTTATAATCAGTTAACTCCCTTGCCTCGGGAAGACGGACGAGTTAATATCGATGCCGAAAGACGATAGTGTCGAAAGACGTATGAAAATGCACATACTCTTAGTCATTTACATATTGATAAACACCTACTTTGAAGGGACACATGGGTACTAGTATGCATCCAATTGCTCATAAATTCATATCATTCTATAAAAAGATTTCCTTCCCTTAAACACTCACTTCTTGGGCAATCTTTGCTGAGAGACTAGGCGGACGTGTTACACTTTGTCATCATGTCAATGAAAAAGAGGACGTGAGGGATACCTGTACAGTACGCGTGGACTGGAAAGTCACCCTTAGTCAAGATAACATTTTTTCATTACTGCATAAAATGCATACTTATATAACGTGTCATGTCTCTGTGCAATGTTAAGATTGAGATGGTAATAAAACAATTTTTTTCGATATTCATACGATATTATTTATTAAGATTGAAATGGAAGAGTAGTTCACCTACGTCAAACAGGTCTCGGCAGAACTCCTGACATGCCAAGACGTGGAGTCCCCCTGTTTCGCCCCCTGGCTCGCACTGGAGGGGGAAAGTCAGCAGCCTGCACAAAACAGTTCTCCCCCTCTTCACTGTACTTGCTCAAGAGCTTCGCCCATACCGGATCACAACGAAGCAACTTGGAATTTCCTGCATGACACATTGGTGCATCTAATTTAAAAGAGCTATTCATACTCGTAACTCTGAAAACGTGTATGCTGATTCATGTGACTGACTGACTGACTGAGAATGGAATATTCCAGCAATAGCACGGCGGAGGACACCAGAAATGGGCTTCACACATTGTATCCATGTCGGGAATCGAACCCCGGTCTTCGGCGTGACGAGAGAACGCTTTTACCACTAGGCTACCCGACCGCCCCGATTCATGTGATAATGTTGTGCATGCACGACTATGGACAGCATGTACGGATAATGCATGGTCACTGAGAAGACCCAAGGCACATCGTTTGTTTGTTTGTGGTTGAACGCCACACTCAGCAATATTCCAGCTATATGACGGCGGTCTGTAAATAATCGAATCTGAACTAGACAATCCAGTGATTAATATCATGAGCATCGATCCACGCAATTGGGATCGATGACATGCATCAACCAAGTCAGCCATCCTGACCACCCGATCCCGTTTGTCGCCGCTTACGACAAGCATAGTCACCTCTTACAGCAAGCATGTGTTGCTGAAGACCTATTCTACCCCGGATCTTCACGGGTCCCAAGGCACATAACTCGTATTACAGCAGTTTATACAATATTAATTATTCTTTCTTTTCTTGGTACGATGTGACATTCACACGGTACAGAAGCAAAATAACGTTCTTGGTTCGTATCTACTTCTAATAATTTAATCGAAACAACATCGAATACTTTTCAAATAACACATGCTCTGAAAAATAATATTTTTAGTCATTTTGATATTTTATTACCAATGATGATCAGTCCTTTTCTGGCTCGAGTGAGAGATACGTTCATTTGGTTAGCATCAGTGATGAAGCCCAGGTTGTGTTTGCACCAGCCACGTGTTGGGTTCTTCTCTATCTTGTAATGAGGAAGCGACCTCACCGTGCTGAAGATCACATAGTCCCACTCACCCCCTGACGATTAAGATGAGAAATAAGTAATTCCGTGAAGATTATTTGATTTCAAAAGTTCGTGAAAAACATCTTGAAAACATACATTATTCCACAACTTGATGGTTGGAAACGTGTACAGACCATCCGACTTAGTGTGTCATCCTACTAAAACTTCCAGATGTCAAGTAAAGGGTGGCACAAATTGCCCCATAGTCATCCTGTTTATGTTGGTGCACACCAATTACTTAGTCTGTCAGAACAAATAAACATCTTAAAATATGGGACAAACCCCTTTCTATATGCAAAAGAAATTTATGTTTGCAGGACATAGCTGTGACTGCAGCACATGCTTTTATAAAGGGGCAATCCAAATATAAACATCTTAAACGGAAATAAAATGGACAAAAAAACAAAAAAACATTTTTTATAATCATAAGACCAGACTCTAAAGCAGAGTCTATTGCGCGACTCCACTATTATGAGTAGTGTCTTTGAATCACTTTCAAATAGTGATGACACAAAGTGTTTGCGACTCCTGTCTACCGGCGGCACCCGTAACAAACACATGCACACCTAAGTGAATTGTTCAGCTGAACAAAACACGGGAACACAAAAGTCAAAATAAGGAATTTCATCGGACATCTTTTTGTTGCTGACTTTTAGTTTTCCACCAACATAGAACTCACAGTCCTTGATCTTATTAAACAATTGCTAGTATTCAATCCACTCATTCACGAATTACGAATACTGCTGTATCTTTATGTGCATACTTACCCTGACTAGCAACAACTGTCTGGACATTTAAATGATCAAACGGACCAGCGAGATCCAGTTTCTCCCTGATGGCATGGCGCTGCGCATTGTACTGTGACATCACATTGATGTTCTTGGGCTGAATCCTCTCAGTCTTCACAAGGTACAGGAACACATCCACCTGGAAAGTAACAGAAATATACATGGTTCCTGTTCCTACTCATTACATATAGGAAAAATGCATAGTGATAAATCATGTTGTATGAGCAGCAGTATGTATTGTAAAGTAATAATGTTTCGATACTTCTGTCTGTAGCTTGGCAGAAGTACTGATAATTGTGATGTTAGATAGATATTCGTGTAAAGCGCCTACTTACAACTTTTTCTACTTCTTTCATGTTAGACTTGGACTGCTCATTGCCCTCTTCTGTGGACACAGTGAGTGTCGTTTCCTCACCATCCACGTGGCAAAACACCTTGGGGTTGGTCTTCTCAGGCCAAATGGACAGCTCTTGCCTAGGGGCAATGTACCAACGGGCCTCTTCAATCCGATCTGGTCCGGTTATTAACTTTGCATCGTAGAACTGATCAGATGGGAACTTGCATATCTTTGGATGCTGAAATACATCATACTATATTGTTTATTGTTAGTGTATATTGCTCGTGACGAAGTTATCCGAATTTTACTGAAATTGAAACTTTTTTAAAGGATAAAATTATAAATAACTGTCTCGAACTCTGATCAAATGATATTTCATGTCTGTGTTGGATGCAATTAGAATTCCTCACCATTCTGTACTGGATGTTGAGGAAAGATGCCTCATCTTTGTATCTTTCAAACAAAGACTGGTCTAGCCCCAACTGTGCAGCATGGGTAGACTTAACAATTGGCCTCAGCTGCTGGTGGTCCCCGATCAGCACCACCTGCTCCGCCTCAGTAGCAACAATCGGGATCATACTCTGTGGTTCTGGGCACATGGCACTTTCATCGATAATACACTGGAAAATCCGAGTTGGCTTTGTGCTCTGAGGCTGCTCTGTAAGCTTTGTGCTCTGAGGTTTCTTTGTAAGCTTTGTGCTCCCAGAGACTCCGCAAGTGCACAAGATCACGTCGCATATCCGCAGTTCTGCTTCCTCGGCTTTTTCAACGAGACGATTGTAGTCTTTTATGTCCCTCACGCTGACATTCGTCTCATGAAATGAGATATGATAAGTCTTAGCCAAACCCGTCAAATGTCACCTACATCTGTATTCTATGGTCAGAATAAGCTTAATTCAGAATGTATCAGTTAGGAAATATGAACATTAAGAAACATGGCCATTTCATTTATATCTACAAACATTATATGAAATCAATCAGAAGAAGAGATAAGTAGTAGGTTAAAACAAATCTTACTCCCTCTGGATCTTTTTCAAACTTAGCATCATATTCATTAATCCTCTCAGCATACGGTTTTTCCTTCTGTCTGATGACATAATGCAGGGTGATGCTTCTTAGGTCAACATCGGATTTGAGGCCCCTCGTACTTCGTTTTGAGATGAAGTCACGCTTTGGTATTGGAAAGTCTTGGTTTCTTATTGTCTTTCCGTACATCCGTAAGATTTTCGGACACTGATTTCCAAGCTTCTGCATGAGGTACTCTGGGAAACAATCCGAAAAATGTGGACGTCAACAACTAGAGGTGTTTGCAAGTACTTGCAAAAATAGAAACAATCCAGTCACGGGAATTTCCTCCAAGTTTCGAGAGTCTCAAAATGCTACCACGTACATATACCTCCAGTTCAAAAACATTATTGTCTTGACCTTAATCTAGGAGTTTTGGTAAGATCTAACAATTACAATGTCTGTAGGGTTGTACATGTTAATGTGCAACTGTAACTGGCAAAGAATTATACGACCATGAGTTCCTTGACCTTTGGAAAGATACATTCAAGTGTATAGGTTAATCCCTATAGAGGTAGCCATGCCTCAGAAACTGACAGAGATATAACGATGTGTTACAACAGGGATGATTTCAACTTTCGAATAGTCTCTGATTTCAGCAGATATTTCTTTTGAATGAGGTGAGGTGAAATTGGGTTAACGCGGCGTTCAAGTTTATTGCGCGTATAGAGCGACGTGAATACACAAGTGTGTATGTGTGTGTAGCTGCTTGTACTAGTCTGGACTAGCCGATTTTATAGTGCTAGCACACCGAGATACCATGCCGCAGTTAAACATGAATACCCAACTCATACACAGCATACTGACTCCTTGCCTAGCTGCCCTTGTTTTAGCCCCTTAATGCCGAGCGCCAGGAAGGGTAACAACAAGTATAATCTTTTAACGTCTTTTGGTATGACACCCTTTACCATACACATATTGGTATGTCAGGTATCCAACCCTAGACCTTCCGCTCTCCAGGCAGACGCTCTACCACGAGACCACAGAGGGGGTCCCTTTTGAATATGAAAAGCGTGACTTTTATTTACAAAAACCTAAATTCTGACCTTGATTTTTTACTTATCTTGATAAAGCAAGGCCCTATAAAAAAAAGTAACACTAAGCATAAGAACGTTTGAATGAGATTTTCGGCATGTGCCAAAAGACATTCATGTGGAATAAGTCAATTGTAGGACATCTAATTTAAATAATATGTGAACCATATTCAAGGGAAAGTATATTACAAATCCTATTGAAAATTACCGCAATGGTGACCCTGACCTTTGATATAAATACAACTTTCATTTGACGTTATAGGATTCGTTATGAAACATGTAACTATTAAGTCCCATGCCCATGGATGTAAACTTGTTTCAGAAACTGACAAATATATAACCATGTTTTACAGAAACCTTAACGCTATGAGGTTTGACTAATCTCGACCAAAACATTTTGAAGCAGGGTCCAATTCTAGAGAGGGTATATACCAAGTTTGATGATAAATGTATTAATACTTTTAGAGAAAACATAAGCACAAATGGTTTTTGTGATTTTCTCAATGCTGAAACCTTGACTTTGACGCTTCATTAAATGTGGCAAAATAATTCCCAAGGGCCATTTGGAAGACGTCCATGGAAGAATAATATCGAATGTCAATAATGTTTGTATAGAAGACATAAGTAAAATCTACGGTGGCAGCGACGGTCAAATTCAAACAGAATCTTGAAGCAGTCCCTACTTCAGTCCACTTCACTTTTGCTTGGAAACACATTTTCAACAAGTCTCCACCTTCTTATTAGTTTACTCTTATCTCAGATAACATGAATATACCTACTGGCAACAAGGTCAACAGACTTGTTTGAAGGTCCACAGAAAAGGATTTGCCTCTGTTCCTTGTCATAACCCTTGCTGTGCATTTCCTTGTTGATTTTGTTGAACAAATAGACCAGCTTCAAACCTGTGTACGTCTTGCCGGTGCCTTTCCAATGTATGAATTGAGAAAAATATAGAATTAGGTAACCAGTTCAAGGGCATATCGACATATCAAAGTGCATTTTGACATGTTTCAAATCATTATTACTCAAGAATATGAACCATTTGCATACCATTGCTCGTGGGCTTAAACGAAATGGTAAATATTTACTACCTGCATCACTTTGGCTTTCCCCACACAAACGTACACAATGTGGAATAACTTAAATACTGCTCAAATCGACGTGGACATAATTTAAGTGTGATTCTGTTATCTTCAAAGTATATTTTGATGTACCTTAACAGTACTAGTATTAACTGCGAGGTTAAACTCAATGCACCCAAGTATTGGGGTGAGTGAGTGAGTATGGTTTCACGCCGTTTTTAGTAATATTCCAGCAATATCACAGCGAGGGACACCAGAAATGGGCTTCACACACTGTACCCATGTCAGTCATCGAACCGGTTTCCGTGACGAGCGAACGCTTTAACCACTAGGCTACCCGACCGGCCTACCCAAATATTGCATCCAAAGTTCTGACAAATCTGTTTACATACCCGGTGGACCCTGTATGAGACTGAAGGGTTCTACCAGAGCCCTCTTGATAGCTTCCTCCTGGTTCTTGTTGTTGGCAGGCATGTAGCCAGAACCAACCAGTTCCCCTTGAAGAATATCACATTGACTCTTCTTGCACACTTGAAGCCGAACGTAACCTGTGATTGTGAAAACATTAATTACCGATTTATGTACTTTTTTTATCATCAGTATTCATGCCATCATTAAGACATATCCTGGACTTAATATGCATATCGTGCTCATTGACGCTCTATTTTACTCCATCTTTAAATAAATGGCGAATTTAGAAATTGTTTTGCAATACTGAAATATAATATGATAATTCTACAGAAATTGATTCAAATTGCAAAATATATTCATTATCTGTTATCGAAATGAATGTATGTTTTCTTTTCTTAGTTTTCAGACCAAAGTTGGTAACTCTCACTCTACTAAAGCAAAAGGTCAAAAATGATTACTTAGAGGCCTTCTCTTCAACTTCAGAGCAATGCTTGTTGCCAAATTGCTGTCCTCATTGTCCTGTAGACACCTCAGCATCTGCTCACTTCTCCTGAAGGTAAGCACAACTAGATCCCATTATTTGAGTATTCAATATGATTTACTGAATTCAAACATAGGAAAATGTTGTGGTTCATAAAGATTTATCATTAATTACAATGATTTTATTTAGTCAGCTTCACTTTTATAACTAGAGCATAGATAGACGTATTCATACACCTATTTACAAAAACATGTAACCCCTAACTGTTATCTTAACCTTACCAATTATCTATGATAATATTAGTATTTCTTTTGCAAAGGGGCTAGTGGCTTCTGGTAAAATACGTGAGTCACTTTGTACCTGTCAACTTCACTTTTGAAGATGATTTCTACCAATGCTGAAAATTCTTTTCCTAGTAAGTGTCGAGGAGGAGGGATAGAGTTGGGCATCAACTGGAATGTTGTTCTGATCTGTCCATGATCATCACGTGGGGATTTGATGTCTTTTCTAATCTTCTTTATAACAGCATGTCCTATCCACACACACGAATCTTCAAATATACAGCTCTTCCTTTGGAAATCATTTGGAGTATATCGAATACAAATATATTCCAAAGATCCGTGTTTAGGAATGTCATCAAATGGTGACTCGCCAGTTTTCATTTTCTGTATGGCCTCAAAGTTCTTCCCATCTATCTCAATTGTGCATGCATCACAAAACGCAGAGTTCAAGGAAAAGCAGCCATATATCAGATCATTTTTCCTCTCCAATCTCACATTTAGATTTTTTAAGATGATCGTTCCCTCACTACCAACAGCTCCAGTAGCTGATTCCATTTCTACAAGTGGTAGCCATGTCCTTTGATAATCCTTTGTTGATGTGAATTCACGATTTCTGACAGATCTCTTGACATACTTGGCAAAGGTGTCAACAGGATCATGCCAATGACTTAGGCAAAGATTCAGGTCTTCACACACCTGGAACATCTGTACATATGGTGTGAGCGATCCCTGATCAGCAGTAGCATGCATCTGCACTCTCAACATCTGACCTTGGCTGAAATTGAAGCCAAATCTGCAGTGGTGGTTTATGTTCCATGCCTCACAACAATCAGCTACCACCTTTTGGACCCCTGTTCCATTCAGATAGCAGTGTTCTCCTTTTGGAGATAGGGTTCTTGTTACACTACTAATCCTATCAGGGTTCTCAAAAACAGCCTTCAACAGTTTGGCAAAATCAGATATTTGAATGTGTACTGTGTGCATGTTTGAGTCAATTGTCACTTCCTCCGTCCCTAGTGTGTTGCTTGATTGTGAAGCTTTCGTTTCCTGACGGCCCCTTGGCGTCACTACCCCATAAATTCTCTTGTTCCAGGCCCCACGTACACTCGTCTTGTTAATGTCTGGGCACCGTCTTTCTTCAGGTCTTCTGCAGAAATCCAGCAGCTTGAATTGCAGTTCTTTGCTTCTGCGGGTCATCTTTTTCAGTGATGGTATACATAGTGTGACCTGACTATCACACACTGAATCAACAACAGCATCAAACACCATTGGTGCTGAGGCCAACTGTTCAGCCTGCTTGACACCTGTAGATGCTCTACCAAAACGTCGTTGTCTCCTGCACGCTTCGGTGACATCTGAGCAAAGAGAGTTCATCTCTTCTACTGTGTACGGAGGTGTATTCCGTTTTTCAAGTACAGCATGTACCAGACGATGGTTGATAAGATCAACATACCTTCGTATAGGCGATGTAAAGTGAGTGTATGGCTGGATATTCAGAGAGTAGTGCTGCAGATCCTTCCCTGTGCCATACCCAGAACATTTGTACACAGCAGATTCCATAATGTCAAGCCAGTGACTTGTAGCAAGACACTGTAAGGGGTGTAGCTGATCACAACAAAGAAGACCTCGCACTGTCTGCAGATCCTTTTCCCTGACTGCTTCAAGTATTTTCCCCCAGACATTCCTTTGAACTGTGACATACTTTGTTCTATGAACAGTCGACGTCTTACACTGTTTGTCAACATTGACTATTGTCTTGTCCTGAATGTTTTTTCCCTGCAGTGTAACAAGCAAGTCCATGATATGTGCTTCTTCTTGAATCCATTTCTCCAACTCTTCTTCTGGCGGAGGATCTTGACACCGAAGAGGAACACAGGCTCTGTTATGTTCCATCAACCATGACGCTATAAACCGATTGGCTTTTATCATGAATTCTTCAACCAGAGCATGAGCCTCCAAAGCATGTAGGAGTGTCTCAACGTCAAGCAATCTCGGATCCTCGAATGGCACATTGAATCGGGAGTTCTTCAAACGTTTTGAGCGAATTTTCTGTGACAGTTTGTGAAGCTGTTTGATACAGACTTTGAGCTGATAAGGACAGTTGACGTCATCATATTTTTTATCTATAATCAGCTGTGCCTCGTCATATGAAAACTTGCGACAAGATCGAATGATGTGTTTCTTCACAACAGGTTTTTCAAGATCCAGTCCATTGCCATCAAGAACAAACAACACAGAAAGGACTTGTCTCTCCTTGCCAGGTAATAAGCTCAGCTTTTCCTGGCTAAGTGGTTCAGGCAGCATGTTGTGACTTCTCCAGTTTGACGATGGGTAGAAGGTTGTAGCTCTCTGCTGAGCCTCCTTGTCCACAGGATCACCCTTCCTGACAACAGCAGCAACATCTGCAATGTGGACACCAACCACAAAGCTGTCTCCTGTTTTCCATATACTCAGGGCATCATCAAGGTCTTTTGCATGTGGGGGGTCAATAGTAAAAACACTTTGTTCTGTCAAATCATTATATCCTTTTACAGATAGTTTGTCATGCTTTAGCAACTCTTCTACATGTGTAACTGTTGCCTTTGTGTAATAAGTTGGTACTCGAAACTGTTGCTTCAGGACACTGAGGCCTGAAGCATAGTCCCCTCCACAATCTAAAACCCTGAGAACAGCACCTTTTGGATATGTATGTTGAGGAAGCCATGTTAGAAATACAACCAGAAACACATATTGGCCTCTTTTATTCGGCAAAATGTCGAAATATTTATCAAACTCAAGTTTTCTTTTGTGACCAATTTTGTAGACATCAATTCTGTATTTATGTTCCTGATGGTTCTCTCTTGTTCTTCCAGTCCAGATATAGATTTTTGGAACACTTCTACACAATGGATGCATTACATTCACCTCTTTTGGATTGTTGCTACATGCTAGCAGTGGAAAGTCCAAATCTTGAAACTTGCTGCTGAGAGTACCAACAACGCTTCCAAAGACTGTGTCACTATTGTCATTTTCTGGGTTCAAGATTTCAACCACAACTTCATCATTGTTGAATGTTTGGCCACATTTTCCACGACCATGAATCTCTATTTTGTGATTTTTCTGTTCAGCCTCCAAAACTTTACAGGTAGCTCGATGAGGACCATCCAGTTCTATACGACACCTCTTGTACCTTTCTGGGTCGGTGGCCAATATATCTTCTAGTTTAGCCTTGTCCTTCAGTTGGTGATACCGCAAACCCCGTCCTGTTTGTGCAGGCTTACAAATGTAGTTAATTTCTAACCCTTCTCCAGTAACAAGTTCATCCTCTTCCCCTCCTTTAGCGTACAACTCCTGACTTTCTTCAAACCATGTTTTTCTCACTCTTTCTTCTTGAGCATCATCTTTATGAACTTCTTCCTCTTCAGATTCAGATTCAGACCAGTCAACGGATGCCTCTGGTGGAGGATCTAACCCTTCTCCATCTTCCCCGCTGAGCTCTTCCCAGGGATCAACCTCTATCACAACTTCCTCATGGTGTCTCTGGGCTGCATATGGGCGGTATGTTTGGGGTTCAGCTGGCTGCTGAATAGCCTTAAGAGTCAAGTCTGAATGGGGCATCTTGTCTTGTGCAGCATTTTGTGATAACCTTGTTTTTGGTATGGCTGAAAAGATATTTGATGGTATATCTTCTTAAAAAATTCCCACTGAATATTCATTTTTTTTACACTTTAAGATGACCAACTATTTAGATATAAACACATAGATTTGAGCAAATCATGCGCCACATAATGCAAAATTATGTTAATGTAGATGAATGCTACTGATTAATATATCTGGATTTTTTAGCAATACATCATGCCATCATAAGTGATCAGTAACAAGACATGCATGCAACTTACCTTTCGTTTTGTTTTTCTTTTTCTTATATTCAGCTTTCACTTTCTGTGCCTTTTCTTGCTGTGACTACGAGAGAAAGAAAATAGGTTCATCAGCAGTAGCTAGATGTATTTAACATGAAGGAAAATGACAACATATATTTTATTATTTAGATGAATTTCTTCTCTTTAATCAGTATTAGTTATTATCATGCAAGGAAGCCTGGAAAATTGTATGGAGACTAGATCAGCCACATCGACAAAACCAGATATTTTTAAATGAACCTAAATAAAAAAAGGAGAGGATCCAGGAACATTTTTTTTCATACTTTCTTGTGGCAGTTGTGGCTTGAGGGTGTGGGTCAAAATCTCCCACACTGGTGGCATAAACCTGCAACGTAAGGTCCCAAAGCTATCGTGAAGAAATTATCTTATTTTCCAATTTTGAGTGAGTGAGTATGGTTTTGCCACGATTTTAGTGATATTCCAGCAATATCATGGCGGGGGACACCAGAAATGGGCTTCACACATTTACGATGTCGGGAATCGAACCAGGGTCTTTGGCGTGACGAGCGAAACTTTTGACCACTATAACATTACCAACGTCATCTATCAACACAACAATGCAAAACAGCATTCAGTTTTTCTACAGGTCCCCTTGTGACCTCAAGAACACCCATGGGAGGAATACTGCATCGCCTCGCGCGACAGTGTTATCTGTAACTGTTACATTCTGCACAATCTAAAATGTCCATGACAAAAGGTGCCAGGCTAATGATGAACACATGAGATATTGAGTTGGTCTTTGTCAATTCCTTCTGATGTCTTCAATTCAAACACGTGTCCAGTATTGCCCTCTTTGCAATATGTCATCAAACAACAAATGTTTAGATGTACAGTCAATTTCTCTTACTTAAGTCTGGTTATGCGTTTAATTATTGAGGTTATGTATGTATCAATGTAGCATAATTTCCTTTCAAATGTGCTGTTTTGATTCCTATTGTGATTGAGGCAGATATGTTTGATAATGTAGCAACATTCCTTAGAATGTCTAATACCATTGTTGTTTGATTAAAAATATTCAAGAATGATAATTTATTGGTAATTACGTTTCAGTTATATTTTGTAAGATTTAAAGCAATTATGTCATGAATAGGTGGATAAGAGCAGTTTTCGGCCTTTCAGTCGGGTGGTCTTGTAGCTACAATCTATTTGGGGCTAGGCTGTTTAGTTCTTTTTTTTTTATCAAATACGTGTTTGAAAGACATTCCCTACCTTCAGTGCGTTGTGCAAAACGTTTTGGCCTTGGAGCCATTCTGGGTTTGCTTCAGGTGTAGGATGAGGATGTGAAGCCATTTGGCTTTCTTGGCGCAAGGAATCTAAGTATTTCTGAAGACGGCGTTTCTCATCTCCCAATCTGTCCTGCTGAAAACATATCACATGTGTTCATTAAGGTGAGGCCAGTAAGCTGGACAAGTCAAGCAATATCCTGACCAAGACTCAGTGCAAACCAAAGGGACTTAATGATTACATATTTTGTAAAGGACAAACCATGCAACAGTACTAAATTGTCAACCAGATGTAGTTTTTACAATGTCAAATGGGTATACAAACAAGAAGTTAAAAGACAAGATATTCTGTAGGGATGAAATATGATCATTACACAGGAGGCGAGCGCCAGTTCCGCACACTGAACCGCCAGTCTCATGTCCCCACGGTTGTGACAGCACTTTGACCACACTTCTAGGGCATCACTGTCATCCATGTCAAAGTAAATCTCCGCAGCTGCAACAAGCCATATACCAGATTGTTGACCCTCGTATAATATATGTTTACCAGTATATAATTTACTTATATATTCCAGTTTATGTTCATCGATATATGACTTCAGCTTACGTTGATATCAGCTGGATTCTTTTTTCATCATTATGTGAGTGAGTGAGTGAGTACAGCACCTCGTATAACAATCAATAGGATGCTGAGTAATGGATAAGTCATTATATCGGATAAGATGAAACATGATATTTGCCTCCAGCTTCGACACTTAATTGAAATATCTTTTTTACATCTGAGATGGGAATAGATATGTCAAAATCAGTTTACTGAATAGTCATCTACTTTCAAGTTGCTCATAATATCAATCACTGGTTTGTCAGGTCCAGCTTTGATTATTTGAAGGCTGACGTCTTAAAGGAATATTACTGTGTGCTGCATTAAACAACAAATTGACGTGAAAGTCCCTATCCCAGATTGATATCATGGTTGGGTAGAATAACTCACTTTTATAGTACTACTAGTGTTTTATCATATTGCATTGGTAGATTATTTTGGACCAGACCACGATATATTATTCATATATACTCTGTAGGCCAGCTATGCCGTTTATAAAACATACCGACTTTCGCCATCTTTCCAGCAGCTGCATACAGCCCCTGCAAAAGATGGTAGTATTACACATTACAAAGAAGATGTACACTTTTATCGTAAAGGTTGAACATTACCTGATTGCAGTTAAATGTATCTTTAACAACCATTAATTATTAGTATATGGTATTTATTGAAGTTGAAATGTTTTAACATCCTGGCAAGGCTATTTTTCTTAATCACCTTTTCATAAGCACATTTGGCTATCACAAGGACCAAATGTTTTGTCTTGCCAATGAGGTTGTTGGGATGAAGCCTCATCCTGCGGTACGCTTTGAACACACTGAGGGAGGTGAGACAACACACGCCGGGGTTTTCTTTGTAGGTATTTTGTACCATCAGGCGTAACTCCAACAACAGCTGAAGCAGCTCCTGTAGCATTAGACAAATTAGACGCTTCATGAATTTCTTAAGAATATCTTTTGTTTGAGTGAGTGAGACCTTCACTGAATTCAAAATCGTGCTCAACTGGGAATTATACACTCTCGTACTGTGTCTGTGCTACCTCGAGTGATTGGGTATGGTTTTACGCCACTTTTAGCAATATTCCAGCTTCACACATTCTACCCATTTCAGGATTCGAACCTTAGTCTGCGGAGTCTCGAGCCAACGCTTTAACCACTAGGCTACCCGACCGCCCCAACTTTTATTTGAAACAATAGCCGTTGGTCTTTCTGCGGGAGTGGACATTGACGATGGAGGTATTACTTCGTCCAGTTTATGATCACTTATATACTCCTTTCAGGCTAATGAAGTTTTGATGCATTTGTCTTGACCTTTGAAAATTGTGCTTTAAAGGGATTCTTTTGGAATGGCTTAATGCAACCGAAGGAGCAGGATACGCTCACCCTTTAATTAGTTTATAATGATTCATTAACAGATGCCTATGATATAGTCGGAATTGAAGAATGGACTCCGCTTTAAGCATAGGACTTTTTTTTATTGTGGAAAGGGTTTGCTGCTTTTATTTAAAGAAGTTCTCAAGAAACCTTCCAATGGTTTTAATAATTACCGTTTATGATTGTCCATATAGGTTTTTCATTCTGTGCAGAGTTACTTGTATTGGGCGTACCAGATACCCATCATTATAGGTTCGAATCCTAGACTTTCCCTGATCATTCTTCTAGGTTTGTCAGTACCATAACCGTGTTCGTGGGTTTCCCCATGGAGGTAAACATTCAAGACCTGCATCACATCCTTCCCACATCAGGCTAGCACGCGGAGATGCAACTGAAATACTGTACAACGTAACATGTACCTAATTCACTCACTCACTCATTCGTCAACGCAGAATTTCCATACAGTTAAAACAACTATTCAGTCCAGGTTATAACAAAAATAACAAAATTCATTTACCTCATAGCGGTAAGCAGTAAACTGTGTGTTATAGAACACAGTTTTCCACAGGGAGGTTTCTATCTTCTCGAATTCCTCTGATAGCTTCACCTCAATATCTTCCTCCTCAGGGTCGTCGTGCATGTACACTTCCAGCTCCCCGGTCAAAGTCAATGCTGCAACACCCATCAATAGCCTTATCAAGATGACCGTCACCTTGGCACATAGATACGCAAACGTGTGTGCAATGATTGTTTTATACATAACTGTTAAAATTGAAACGGAAATCCAGCAGGTGAGCTTAAATTATTTTGAATAATTTAGAGGCATTAAATTGCATATTTCATTCCCTTTCATTTACGTGAATAGCTCTTTCTAACTACGAAAACATTAAAGGATTACTACCCATTTTACCAGACAGAATATTGCCTCATATATTAACTCTCTGAATTTGAGGTTATCTCTGTAAACGTGGCTTTGGCATTCCATCAAAATGTAGATTGTAGTTTCTTCATTATGGGTGTTCCATGTAGGTTTATGTTATAGTTTCATGTTCGAGAAACAGGTGGTTCCTCAGAAAGTAGTATGGAACAGGCTCAATTATGCTATTCATTTCAATGTATCCAACAAGGAAACATTAATGTACGCATTTGTACATTCAGAGAATCAGCATCTGCCACATCCTGTCCAGAGATGAATAAGGTTCCATTTCCTGCGAGTTTGTCACGGAGTGTATATCTTTTGGGTCGCTTGCAGGAAATTTTCATGATTATTGTATTTAGTTTGAAGATGTATTTTCATCATAGTTTTGATAATTGTTATGTCTCTGTGTGGAAGGTATTCTGATTTTTGAAAATGCAAAAGATCTGGTGGGGGTTTCGGTAATTTTGACAGATCTCTGTTACTTTGAGTAATTTTGAGTCCCTGCGAAAGAATTGACCAAACATCCAGGATAATGACAATCGAAGATGTGAAAAAGCTATAAAATGACAATTTAACAAATGGCACCAAAATGACTAAATTTGAGTATTTGTGTTTGTAATACTACTAATTATGATAGAATCATGTGTTAATGATGTGTTAAAGAAGGTTGGTTAAAACTAGGGACACTCTTACAGAGTCTTGTCACAGTTTCATCCTTCAATTTTAAAACACACTCACTATCTCCAGAAACTTTACTCTGGTATCGCATATTGGTATAAAAAATTGTTTGTTGTAGTGATGTTACCATGGAGTAGACAATGTTGACTCCTTTGTACGATATGTCTTTGTACTCTGTGATTAAGTAAATACGTTATTTTGACAATATATCATGATACAAGTCATCGTAAAAAGTGAGTGTTGTTTCTTCTGGAGATAGCTAAATTTCTCAGTTCTGATGTCTGAAGACAACTAGCGCCAACATCCACTCTGGTGCATGAGAGTCTACTCAGAAATCACAAGGTAATGATGAACTTAACATCAAATAAACTTGTACTGAAGATTGCGTTAAGAAAGGACATCCTCAGGCATACTTACCATTGTACAGAAATCGCAGGCCATTCAGAACTTGACTGCACCTCTGTAATTATATCATGTGTACATTAACTAGTGTATGCTCTATATTTTAGCAACACGCGAATTGTTGTAAAAAAATTAGCCAAATCCCTTTCCATAAACACAAGAAATCTATGTCCAGTTTGTACGATTACAACTATATAATAAGCATAGGTTAATGAATCACTATCAAATAATGGTAATACCAGGAGTTTGCGAAAAATTCAGCGTATTCTACCCTATCGGTGGCACCCGTTACAAACACATGCAAAAAGCACGGGAAGATGTGGTACAAGTCAAAATAGGAAACACTATTTTTGTCACTGATGGGTCAAATGTGGAAATGCCCCACACATGTCTGTCATAAACCTATGTTTTGCTGAAACTTTTAGCACCTGGTATCGTCACTGCTTGATAGTGATTCATAAACACATGCTCATTATAATTATATAGTCGGAATCGTACAATCGACTCTGTTTTTGGCAGAGATTTCTTATGAACATGGAAAGGCTGTTGTTGCTTTTGTTTCATATCTTAACCCGCATCAAGCAACAATGTGCAAGAGTCGCACTACGCTCTTTGAAATCTTCATTGAAACAGCAAGCTCGATTGAACTCCAAAATATGTAAAATGTAAACACCAGAGGCTGGAGCCCATGGAATGTTGCTCAACATACAAGGAAAGTTGACGTTAGGAAAGTTACAGTCACACCTCTTGTCATACAGACTTGTGTCACATGTTACGAACAGATCTAAACATGAAACAGATGAGACGGTTTCACTGGGTTGTTCTTTATTTCTAGTTCGGGTGGGTGAGTGAGTGAGTTGGGTTTAACGCCGCTTTTAACACTATTCCAGTTATATCGCGTCGTGTCACCTTAATCTGGGAGGAAGGCTCGAAGTGATGCAGGTCTCAGACGTTTACAACTTCGGTGAAACCCACGAGCACGGGTATGGTGCTGACAAACCTAGAAACATAATCGGGGCGAACCGGGATTCGAACCCACAATCATATGTTTCTGGTGTGCCCAAGGTAAGCAACTCTGCACAGCGAATCGCGGCGCCTTAGACGACTGGGCCACCCTTGCCCCCTAGTTCGGGTGGGGCAATCAGTGGAAGGAAATTAACGATATTAGATCATGGATATCCCTGAAACTGAATGATTTGTCCAATTTCCTATGTTTTCATTTACTCATTCCGAGCAGAAAATCCGATGCATGTGCATAAAGAAACAGACCAGCAATTGCTGCTCTAGGGGATGCCTACTTCTTGCCTTATGTCATGTCCCAAATACACAAAGATGTTATCCACGAGGAAGTCCAGCAATTCTCATATTGTATTCTCAGTACATTTCAGATGATATTTGCTTTCCTTTTTGACAAATTGTTTTGAACCTTTGAAGATAAAAATCCAGCAAAATCCTTCGACTTTTGGAGAATCCACATGGTATTAATTCCACTTGTCGCAAATACATATGAATATAATGTCTGTCCCTGATTTTATTAAGACCAATGGTTAATCTTTGAGACAGAGATTTGGTGGTACATTATTGGAGATTATATTTGTATAATACTATCTGCACTTTGAGGCTATCGTTACTACATAATCAGGAACCATCCGAATTGTAGTAATGAATTTGTTGAAATGCATACAAGACCCGTCTCGAGGCAATTCTGGGCTTGAGCAAAACAACTCTGCTGTAACCAGTACACATTTATACTTTGGAGGTCGATATTATTAAAAAAATATGGACATTAACTACTGAAAACATAATATTCAATTAACTGTTACATCGACATATGTGCTAAGCACCATGCTTCTACCCACTAGCTACAGAGGGGTTCACACCCTCAATCAGCGGATCCTGACACGGCTAAGGTACGCAACTATGCCTGGACTACTGAGGAAATGAAATCCACATACCTCCAGCATGAAGAGTCTGTTGAGTCTTGCACATACTAGTTGACTGAACCTTGCCGTTGTCGACATGTTACTTGCAGTAGTTGCTGATATCGCAGTCATCGCCGCTTTCTTGAATTTACCCGCAGCATGTTCATCAAAGCTTCCATCCTGGACCTTCTCAACAGCTTCACGAACAACCATCTCCAGTTCAGTCTCCTGAATTTGTTCAAAGCAAATGAACGATACTTTAACACACCCAATAAAGATAGTCATCGAGCCATACTAAAAGGCTGGGAGACCTATAGTTGCACCATGGACGAATACGTCCCAATGGAACTAGTTTTCAGCACGCATCAGCAGTACAAAACAATATAACACGGTCATAACGAAACTCCAAGGGCCTGTTGTTATGTTCCTTATAATCACATCATACTCTATTTGCCCGCCATTCGTAATAGATTTCACGATCTTGTATGCAAAAAATCGGAATGAATGTATTTTATATATTCACGTTTTTTAAAGAGCTGTAAATAGTGAAACATGTACTTGAGGTCATATCTTTGCATTCTGACAGACAGACATTTTATTGGGTATTTAAGACCGCATGGCCCATTGTACGGTTGATATTTCAGTTTCATTTCTTTAATCACGTGATACACATGATATACATGGTAAACAAAATCTATCTGACAGAGAATATATGCTTCAACAATTTGGCTGGTGAACGTGTAACATAAGAGTTGTTGGATTTTGTTTTTATGCATATTGGTAAACTAGGGGATGTATGGAGGCGTAGCCACTCGTGAAAATATCACCTTTTCCCCCGTCACGAGATGAGAGAAACATAATATTTCACTCAACACATGGAATATCCTATTTATTATATAGTTTTTGTGCAATTGTCTACGGAAAATTAAACAAGTTCATTACAAATGTAAAACCTTGAAACGTAAATTCTCCCTACTTGACACACAGGGACGGTTCACCACCCCTTGTATTTGCGACTTAAAAAGTAGTTTCGTGTTTGCAAAATCTTAAAAAAATATAAACAAAAGTATTAAAAAATATTGAGGGTCACGATAATTCTTTATCATACATTTCGATATGAGTTTATACAAAATCAACTTCAACAAAAAATATTCTTGAATACCAGGAGACCGCTGAGAGAAGCGAAAGAATACATGCTTGTCAAGTAACAAATATGGGGCGTTGCGAAACGAACAGTCTCGATTGACGAGTTAAATGAGAGATTTACAGTTTATAACGAAACATTTTCGAGAGAAAAATAAACGGCTAGAAGTGATATTAACTCCATAAATGACTATCCGTCATTATTTTGCCTTGTTCATGTGGAACTACCTTAAAACGAACGTCAACAGTTTGTGTACGGGCCAGTCAATTTTCGGAGACAATTAAAGGGGAAGTAACTCTTGTATGACACTAGTTCCGTCAAAGTGTTATGTTCACAGCAGTGAAATATCAAGTGTTTTGTTCACTGCAGTGACATTTCAAGTGTTATGTTCAGTGAAATGAAAATATCACCTTTCTCAAACTCAGTCTTTCAAACTCAGTATATAATAAACTTTTGCCTAAGATGTTTATACTTGTCACATACTAATAGAACACGAAATTCATCCACAATCTCTCCTGACTGACAGTTATTACAGTTTTCAAAACCAACTTTTTACACAGCTACATCTAAAATTTACATTGAAATTGTGTAACTACACTCTGAATTTACATAAAGCCCTAACAAGCGATTTATCATCTAACATACTCTGTTTCTATAGCAGACTTTATCTGAGGAAACGTGAAGAAGATTTATTATCATGCCAGTTTCGACACTGTAACCTTTGTTAGAGAATACATTTGTATCCTGAACATCTTGGGAAATCCACACAAATGAATAAGGACATGATATATCTGATATTGGACACCCAATTTGTTTTACCATTGTCATCAATAGCTTTCAGTAGTTTATGACATAGACAAGGATATCTTTGCGATTCCATCCTCAGTAATTTTAGCCAATAGCTGGTCATTCGGAGTTGATTTAACATATGAATGGGATAGAGTCCCCTTTCACCGTAACCAACCATTAAAAAGCGTTTAAAGTATGAAGAATGTACGTTTTCAATGATAGCGTGATAGAGTGAGTGAGTGAGTGAGTGAGTGAGTGAGTGAGTTGGGTTTAACGCCGCTTTTAACAGTATTCCAGTCATATCGCGGCGTGTCAGCTTAATGTGGGAGGAAAGCCCGAAGTGATGCAGGTCTCAGACATTTACCACTTCGGTGAAACCCACGAGCACGGGTATGGTGCTGATAAACCTGGAAACATAATTTGGGCGAACCGGAATTCGAACCCACAATCATAGGTTTCTGGCGTGCCCAAGGGACGCAACTCTGCACAGCGAAATCGCGGCGCCTTAGACGACTGGGCCCCCGTGCCCCCTTGCCCCCCAGCGTGATAGAAGATAGATGAGAGATGATATTAGTAACAGGTTTTAAGAGAATATTGCTATATCTCCATTTTTCACGTTTGGAAATTATTTGGTTTTGACAAATTAACTTCCAATCCCCATTTGATGCAAAAAGAATGTAATACATTCAATGGTTTTTTTTACCATTAACAGAATACGAAAACATGATAATATCAACAGCAAATAGAAGTAACATTAAATCTATAATATGACATTCATTATATATTTCTCTGACAAAGTCATTAATGAAGAAAATAAACAAAACTGGACGTACACCACTTGATGTTAAGAAGCCTCAGCCTTAGTTAACGCCCTTGCCATGGGAAGTTGAGATTAAACGGGAATATCATTTTAGGGATGTAAAATACATATAACTGAAGTAAACAAGCAAAATATAAAGTGGTAGTAGTAGCTTCGTACCTGTGGTTTAAACACCTTTGGCTCACTGCCTAATAAGGCAGGGAATGATGCAAGCGGAGACGGAGTAAGAGAGGGAGGATTCTGAAAATGAGAAATGGACGAAGCAAGGTACTGAGCACTCTCAAATGGTAAGCCGATAGGTGCTCGGAGTGGTTGGGGCTGGCGCTGGGAACTCATCACAGGTACAAGCAGGAGTAGGGGTGGAAGTGGGAGCCGATGCTGCAGCACCGGAAATGATGGTGGTGGTAGTGGTAGTTGGTGGTTGTTGTGAAGCCCTGGTGAGGTTGGGGGTGGTGTTTGGTGTTGAACACGAGAAATAGACGAAACGTCTTGTTCTGGCTGATACTGAGCGTGTGGGGAGACTGCCATTTGGTCTTGTGGTTGGTGTTGATGCTGAAACGTTGCAGACACATAGGGAAAGGATGGCGGTGAGGATGGATGTGCTTCTAACGTCGCTGCATTATTGGAGATGTCAGCTTGCCCTTCGTGGCGATCATAGATGATCTCCACGTGGTCGGAGTCTCTGTGCCTCTGGTCGGCCGCTGGATCGGACTGCTGAAACAGGAAAATATCCCGTTAACGTTTATGCCATCAGTGGACTCTCTACATAAGTGAATGAGTGAGTGAAGTGGGTAAATGAGTGAGGTTTCCGCCACGCCTACGAGACTCAACCCTCCACAGCGACTAGCAAATTTACACAACCATCGAATCGCCTAGGAACAACACGTGTTGCAAAACATAAACTTACTTAAGGTACAGAAATCATATTGGACACATACTGTCCCAAGGAGTACAAACGGTGTGTTAAATCAAATAAAGCTCATTTCAATCCCATTGAATTAGGTTTGTTTATTTCCGTAAGATATCTCTCTGAAGGTCGCATAGATGAACCCTTAGAGCACATTGACCGTCCAATCAAAATACAGAATACGTTGGTTATTGAGAAAATCTATTCTTTCTAAAACGCTTCGGCTTCGGAAGTTTCAATCGTAACAAAATATAAAACGTTAAGGCCAGAGTGTAATCAGTGTCGATAATCTGCCGAAACAGATTCCATTGGGCAAACTAGTGGCGAAAACAATACGAATGTATAACTGACATCCTCAGCAAACCTGACCACCAAATCACGTTAGTCGCCTTTTTATGCAAGCATGGGTTGCTGAGGACCATTTATTCCCCGGAACTCCAAGGGGAACATGGTTGTCATCATTGGGCGAGTTTAACATGGAAAGAAAGTTTAGAGTCGTGAAACAAGCAGGTACGGAGACAAACCAAGTATCATAAAGAAGGTGAATGTGGGATTCGAACCCACAACTTAAATCACGCCACGCCTTAGGGATGCACGATGGACATTTAATTTCATTTCTGAATCGAAGACCATTTCTGACCCGGATGTTCCTGGGCCTGCTGTGCTAGATCGTCACCTTCAGTGTCATCAGGTAGACCGCCTCCGTGGTCTAGTGGTAGAGCGTCCGCCCGGAGAGCGGAAGGTCCGGGGTTCGATCCCCGGCCGCGTCATACCAAAAGATGGTACTTGTTGTTACCCTGTCTGGTGCTCGGCATTAAGGGGCTAAAACAAGGACTGATCGGCTCGGAGTCAGTACACTGTGTCTGAGTGGGGTATTCATGTTAAACTGCGGCATGATATCTCAGCGGGCTAGCACTATAAATCGGCATCAGTCCGGACTAGTACAAGTAGCCACACACACACACACACACACACACACACACACACACGTGCATGCACGTCGCTATATAAGTGCAATAATCTTGGACGCGACGTTAAACCCCATTTCACCTCAACTCATACACATACAGATATTTACATAGTTATAGACAGATTAATGACTAGTCGATTGTTTTGTCGTTGCTAGTATGTTTCGGTTAAATAGATATACAATAATAGAAGCGACAAAGCCCTTTCCATATCTATAAGAAATTATTACAAAGCAGAGGGATATAATCCCTGTCACATATTGCATCATCAGATACCATTATACAAACACGCAGATACAGGTGATCAAACAAATGTCGTTATAAACCAAAGTGTATGTGGCTGCCGTCACGTCGTGCGGGAGAAATCCCCCACCGACATGGCCCCTCCAAAGTTCAGACTTGAACTTAATGTTGTATTTCTTCACCCATGGGATTATAATGTCCTTTAGTTAAAAATTGAGCATTCTTAGCAAATTTGGACCCATGAAGATTCGGGGTAGAATTGGTCTTCAGCAACCCATGCTTGCCCTAAAAGAGTCGACTAACGGACCGGGTGGTCAGGCTCGCTGACTTGGCAGATGCATGTCATCGATCCCAATTGCATGGATCGATGCTTATGATGTCAATCACTGGATTGTCTGGTCCAGACTCGATTATTTACAGACCGCCGTCATATAGCTGGAATATTGCTGAGTGCGGCGTTAAACAACAAACCAACCAATCTTAGCATGTTTAACATATGGTAAACCATGGATGGAAGTTTGGAGGAATCAAAACTTTTCAATGTGTCAAGCTTACAGCGGTAAAACGATCAAATATGGTTTATCTTACCTCATCTGAACCTCTGACCAGGTCTGTAAAAAAAATAAACCGTTTAATTCGAGAGGATGTTTTTTCTTAATAATAATGAAACACAAAACCGAGTACGATTCCGACAATATCACAAGTACGTATTTATGAATTGCTATGCAATATTGATGTTACCAGGTATTCGCTAAAAGGGGACCATAATTTTTTTATGCTGCCCCAACGGTGGCACATCACAAATACATATAAAAGCAACTCAATAATTCTCAAATATTGAGTGAGTGAGTGAGTGAACGAGTTGGGTTCACACATATTGAGTGAGTGAGTGAGCGAGTTGATGTTTAACGCCGTACTCAACAATATTCCATCTATATGAAGGCGGTCTGTAAATAATCGAGTCTGGACCAGACAATCCAGTGATCATGGGAATCGATCTACGCAAATGGGATCCAAGCATGGGTTGCTGAGGACCTATTCTAACCCGGATCTTCACGGGTCGAGTGAGAGAGTTGGGTTTGACGTCACAGTATTTCAGTTATGTCACAGCGTTTCAACTGTATATATTATTCACGTAGGAAGAAAGTCAAACGTGATACAAATGATCGTAGATGTTGTCCCACTGAGTTGAATGAGTGAGTGAGTTTGGTTTTACGCCGCTTTTAGCAATATTCCAGCAATATCACGGCGGGGGACACCAGAAATGGGCTTCACACATTGTACCCATGTCGGGATTCGAACCCGGGTCTTCGGCGTGACGAGCGAACGCTTTAACCACTAGGCTACCCGACCGCCCCCACTGAGTTGAAAAAACAACGAGCACGGGTATGATATAGACTGAGGCAATTTCCATTTTTTCATGTAATTTCATGCAAAAAAACCACCACTCTAATTACTTTTAACAAACAAAATGAAACATCAGTAACAACAATGGAAATAGTGTTTCCACAGATGACGTACGGCAATGACGAGTAGGACATTCATCCAACACTGTAACGCTATACGCAGGCAACCACAGTGACAGCAATGCGGAAGAAAGAAACGATTACTCGTGCGTCATTATGCTTATAAAACATCGGAGCAAATTCATCAAAATTTGAATACGTGAACGTTGAGAAACACGTTTACACCCGTCAATGATTAAACGCAATTGATTCTGTTATAACGTTACCCAAGTTACAAGATACAAAGACATTAGTTGATTTATAATAATATTTATTATGGAAGATAAGCACAACACATATACTATACATTACCGTTTGACATTCTGACTGCATATAGTATAAACAAGAGGCGACAAAATATCTCGCTGCTTCAGAAAAGCTTGTTCTCGGGCATGACGATCAGATTTGCTGTTCTGGGAAGGGAAGAGTTGATCTGCCTTACATAGTGCTATTATGGCTTTTCATGGAACTGGACAATAGGATAAAAAGCCAAATCGAAACGAAAGTAACCTTTGGATTGGTTGTAGATTGTCATCGAAATTACGAGGATCACGATTAATGTTATAAATAACACTTACCACAGACATATTCAAATGCTCCAAAATCTAAATCCATGTTATGTCAAGTGAACAGGTGCGTGATCAAGGCTATATCAGCTGATTTGACGGTGTTGATTTCATGTCGAGTTCAGAAGTGCATATCACGTGATTGTTGGCTCATTTCCAAGAAATGAACGTTTATTATGAACTAGGTGGGCGTGTACTAAGAAGTGCACGGTCGATGTGTATACTGTCGCACAAAAGCTTTATGTAATGCCTTACGCTTTGTGCAGTTTAGGACTGTAGAGTATGATATAAACCGAGGAAGAATAATTATGAAACAGTCAAACGGTCAGCACATACCAAATGTGTTGAATTGTATGTGGTCCTGTGGTCATGGCCCCACAATGCACTGTTCTATTTATATATGTAACATAGTCATTACTAAGTGAGCTGATTGCCATAGAACGCTGCATGCGACGCCTGGGTAAGCTGGTGATCAATTTCTACATGGAGATATAGATTACTGCACAAGTTGCTGTCAGATCCGGGGTAGAATAGGTCTTCAGCAACCCGTGCTTGCCGTAAAAGGCGACTGTGCTTGTCGTAAGAGGCGACTTACAGGATCGGGTGGTCAGGCCCGCTGACTTGGTTGATGCATGTCATTGTATCCCAACTGCGTGGATCGATGCTCATGATGTCAATCACTGGATTGTCTGGTCCATATGCGATTATTTACAAACTGCTGTCATATAGCTGGAATATTGCTGAATGCGGCGTTAAACAACAAGCAACATCAACAGGTACCATGTATCTAACAATGCGTTTAATCTGTGCATCTGTTTCTTGCACACACTAAAATCGCTCAATTTTAGCATCGAATCGATGCATATTTTGTTTCTTGTCAGATAGCAGTGGCGCTTTAACAAATAACACAACGATCATGAGTGACGTCATCCGGCACACTCCGGCGCAGTGGTGACAGTATAACACGTGACCAGAATTTGCATATCGCGTGACCAGACTTTTCTCTTGCTTGTTAACAAACGCGCTTTTTCAGAAATCAGAATAGAACGGACAAATGCAAGTATTGCATGACAATAAATATTTAGACATCAAAGTGACCGTATCGCTAGCTCTCCGTAGGGCTTCGAGGACATCACGTGGAGCCGTACAACCAACGTAAACATAGGATAACGACGCAAACGGAAATAGTTTTTCACGTTTTAGGATATATGTTTTCTAGTTGTGTAGACTTGTCAAAAATGAAACAGATGAAAAACATGCAATATCTTGAATGGACTGTGTAAGATGTGACAAATTGTCACATGGCGCTGGCCTGTGGCAGAGGTACGAGACTGGTCTCATGGAACTCTGGGTAGGAGAGTGGTCATCCGCAAGATCTGTGGATAATCAAGGCGATGATGATGATGCATAGAAGATAAGATCAATGAACATTTATTAAGACTCCAAAATCACTGTGTTTCGACACAGACGTAGGTGAATTCGATTGAATGAATGAATTACACGCCCCACTATGGTAAACACGCTCGCCTTATTAAGGTACTACGTAAACACGCTCGTCCCACTTTGATACTACGTAAACACGCTCGCCCCACTTTGATACTACGTAAACACGCTCGCCCCACTTTGATACTACGTAAACACGCTCGCCTTTTTAAGGTACTACGTAAACACGCTCGCCCCACTTTGATACTACGTAAACACGCTCGCCTTTTTAAGGTACTACGTAAACACGCTCGCCCCACTTTGATACTACGTAAACACGCTCGCCTTTTTAAGGTACTACGTAAACACGCTCGCCTTTTTAAGGTACTACGTAAACACGCTCGCCTTTTTAAGGTACTACGTAAACACGCTCACCTTTTTAAGGTACTACGTAAACACGCTCGCCTTGTTAAGGTACTACGTAAACACGCTCGCCCCACTTTAATACTACGTAAACACGCTCGCCTTTTTAAGGTACTACGTAAACACGCTCGCCTTTTTAAGGTACTACGTAAACACGCTCGCCCCACTTTGATACTACGTAAACACGCTCGCCTTATTAAGGTACTACGTAAACAAGCACGCTTCTCTATGGTACTACGGTTATTTGCAGAGTCACAAGCATTATCTGTCTATAAATAAGCCTTATCCTGAAAGTTTAGTATTATCTGAGGTGTTCGTCACTGTTGTGCAACCGGTTCCCGGCGTGTGATGACCCACTTACAACAAAGCGGTTTCACGCCACTGACTGCTAATGGATAATCAATGTTTATTCATGTCATTTGTAAAGGGCATGTCTTGACATTCTATGTTAAAGTTATGGATATATATATATATAAAGTGAACCTTTCTCCACCCAACTTACACTGCATACAACCAGGGTCACAATACATGCAGTGTGTTGGAAGATCAACATTCAACATTCCCTATTGTAAATACGGGTAGGTATAGGGTGTCGCGTGTAAAGTTATCACTGAGAGATGAGACATTTATCATGTTCTGACTAAAGGGGAAAGCTTAACCAGGAAGAACAAGAGACGACTAGTACAATATACACAGATTAATTTACATGAACATCATATGTGTATAGGTAGCTAACAAATTTATTGTTTGTTTGTTTATTGTTTAAAAATGAATTTACGACACCAAATTTCAAACTCGTTTTAGATCATTAACAGAACATCATTTACAGACCGCCGTCATATAGCTGGAATATTGCTGAGTGCGGCGTTAAACAACCAACCAACCAACAGAACATCCGTGTGTAAAATTTCATTTCTCTGACTTGAATCGTTTTTGAGAAAGTTTGTCTCCTTTGAGAAACAGACGACTGGACGGACTTCGTGCCGGTGGGATAAAAATGGTTTAGTACCCCATTTCCGCAACCATCATGGAGTGTCAACAAGGACAGTCTAATGCTGCAGCGGATATCCAAACTGCAAAGGCCGCCTATAAAGGGGTGTTATACTATCAGCTATATGACGGCGGTTTGTAAATAATCGAGTCCGGACCAGACAATCCAGTGATTGACATCATGAGCATCGATCCACATATTTTAGACACGATGACATGCATCAACCAAATCAGCGAGCCTGACCAGCCGATCCCGTTAGTCGCCTTTAAAGACAAGCACAGTCACCTTTACCGTTGTATTATTACTATCACATCAAGTGTTTCTCCTTTATTTAGCTGAAACGCCCTTCAATGATACACACTTATTCGATAGATACACATTTATTCCATTTATTCATTTGCTTTGTCAACGGGCACGTTGCAGGCTACGGGCCTAGGGTAATTTGCCTTAGGAGTCAAATGTACTTCAGACAATGGTAGTCATAAATCAAACGCTATGACAGCTTCATAGATGCAATATCTTATCAAAATGAACATCTGCCATAAAACAATTTTCGGCTAAATCCAACTATTTTACTTTCAATCCGCAGAGGTCTACAAGCACAGATATGGCTACTGATCCCGCTTGGCTAGGCCTAATGCCCTCGCAAATTTGTTTAGAAATTTATATCTCCAAAGTAGCCAAAACTTAAAAAATGCCTTAGCTACGTCACAGTTAGACACTGATTTTCAGTATATTAGACTGTTCTTTTGATAATGGTAGCAATTATTCCTGTAGTTTATCCAGATTCCCTATGGTTAAATCTGACTCGATCGCCGAATGACATTTACGACGCCATGTTTGTTTAAAAACACTGAAAGTAGTCCTACTTGACCTTTGATATTTGCATCTCTATCCGCATATGACCCCAACGGATATCGTTTTTATCCGTTTGCTTTATCCTGTCGAAAAACCTACCCATTATATGATAAATACCATTACACAATCGATCAACATAAGTTTGAAACCCTGTAAACAGACACAAATATGTTTCATCTAAAGTGATACATGAAAACTTGTTGCAAAATATATATTTTATGTGGAAATATAAAGAAGGCAGTCCCTTTCAAGTTGCAGATATACAATGCTTCCATTCATGCCAATGCATCTTTGGGATTGTATATATTTCCCTATATAAAGACAGTGTTTCCCCATGTATCTAATTGATTTCCACCAATTTACTGATTATCCAAATGTGTTACATATTGTCCTGAATTTGAACAATTGCCAGAAAAACGACCGTGATGCTATGTGAAACCATCTTCACGAGGCAAGGGCGTTAACTGTTTGTTTGTTGTTTAACGCCACACTCAGCATTTTCCAGCTATATGACGACGGTCTGTAAAATAATCGAGTCTGGACCGGACAATCCAGAGATTGATACGAAGAGCATCGATCCACAAAATTGGGATACGATGACATGCATCGACCAAGTCAGCGAGCCTGACTATCCGGTCCCGTTAGTCGCCTCTTACGACAAGCACAGTCGCCTTTTACCCCGGATCTTCCCGAGTCAAGGGAGTTAACTAAATGTAAAAGTCCAGTTTCCATCCTTGCCGCATTAGGCTGTTATTCTGGAGTTACATTTTGCTGGACTAACGAGTTTATGCATAGTCCAATAAAAATAGTGACAAACTAGACATCCGGATCGAAAGCAACATGGATTTCAGCGTGCAGATTTCGGTCGACAACAGGATTTGCAAATGGAATCTGATTGGTCAATAGGAGGGACATAGAAGGGACATTACTCGTAATAACCACTGGTGGCGCTACGGTCGAGCCTGGAAATTCCAGCTTGGAAACTGTCAGTTAACGCCCTTGCCTCGGGAAGATGATGTGAAACACACTCTTTCGTTATGTAAACTATAGGTGAGCAGTTCCTGTAAATGCACAGGTATAGATGTAGGTAAATAAGCTGTTTATACATGTTAATGACCCAAAATATAAAATGTAATGGCAGCATCTGCTTCTCAGTATAAACAAATATATTTAATCAGTACAAATATACCATGTATAAAAATGTTTTGTGACATGAATGCAGATACTATCCATTCTATATGTACAAACTGTTTATAAAAAATATATCTACATGTTGTCTATCCAAAAATACAAGTTTGACTTTATGTAAAACACCCCTTGCTCTATTGAAACCAATCGTTTGTCTGTGTAAAATAATAATGACCATTATTGCAAATATATATAACTTTCTTCTTTATGCACCTGCAAACATGTTATGCTCGATGCTGTTACGTGTGGATCCACTAAACTGTTTCCATACATAACAATGAGAGGTTACACAACAATTTAAAAATAATTTAATACTGGCAGTCTAATCAAGCTTCATATTATTCACAAACAGCAATAGCAAGTATCAATCACAATAAAAAACAGTCTTACTTAGAGAAAAATATATACCCGCCCCTCTATTCCTTTAAACAGAAATATATAAACTGAATGGCAGGTTTTACATTGAAGCATATTTTGAAAAGTGTTTGCTGCTTCAGGAATAACACATATAGAAAATACGAGCCATTAAACATAATTTTGTAAGTAATACTGTATGTTGATTTCCAAGACCTCTCAACCAACTCTTAAAAGAACATCATGCCTCTGTCCTAAAAAAAGACTCTAAATCTGCTATCTCTGACCACACCCAAATTCACCCAAGCCACAATATTAAGTGGGACAACGTCAACATCTTAACAACAAACCAGAAAGTCTTCAAGCTCAGAAAATTTAGAATCAAAAGAATTCAGCCAGCCATAAACAGAGATCAAGGATACTACATCCCTCCAGCTCACCATGATCTCATCAGCTTGCCAAAACAACACTGAACTATTATCTCTCCACTGGCTTCCCATACATTCCTTCTTAGTAATCCTTGTGTTAATCCCATACCCATCAATCACTGTAGATCAACCCTATCTCTTGTATAAACTTGTCTTATCATAACTACCTAATCAATCAGTGTACATCAACCTTATCTGTTATATAAACATCTATCTATTGCTATGTATATATATCATGCTCATACCCAGTTTGTACATCATTTGCTTGATAACGGTGTTAGAATCTACACCGAAACGTCGCCCAATTGTAATAAAGAAGTTTCTCATCCATAACAGTTTTGTCTTAGTAAATACAAACTTGATTCAATGCTTCTAAGGAAATATCAAAGAATACTAATTGTATATACAAGTATAAAAATAAAGCAAAATACAAGAGTTCACGATCTGGTTGTTGTGAAGTGTTTTGAAGACATAAGTGACAATCCTGCTCTGGATAATAACCACGTCCAAAACGAGGTCTGTACCATTTGTTTTCAGACCACCCGATCCCGTTAGTCGCCTTTTACGACAAGCAGAGTCACCTTTTACGGCAAGCATGGGTTGCTGAAGACCTATTCTACCCCGGAATCTTCACGGGTCGCATCCTAATATATAGAAGTTGTCATCCATAAACTATCTTGTCTTTACTCGTTGGTGTTTGTTGTTTTAAATGGGTAGCCATCTCGTGACCATATTCCTATATCCATCGCAGTATGTGCTATTGGGAGGGGTTGGTTAACAAACACCTCACTCAGTCTTCACGTTGAGCCCGTTCTTCACTATTGGCTTTGGCTTGTTACCCATATATGGTAATGCTTGTTGGGCAAAAGACGTTAAAGTCTACGATCTGCTTGTGTGGTCGGGGGGAAGGTGTGTGCGTCCACAAAACACCTCTCAGTTCTGTATGCATCCAACAGTTTCTTCCAGATAGGGTCACATTTAAGTAGATGAGAATTCCCTGAAACAGGATTACCGATTAACAAACAAAGGCATCAAAATCCTACCCATATTCATAAGAAATTTCCGCCCAAAGCAGAGTCGATTGTACTATTCCGTCTATATGGTGAGCATGTTTTTATGAATCACCATCAAACAGTGACGACACCGGGTGTTCGCGAAAAGCTGAGCGTAGGAAAGACAATTGTTTGCCTGGAACATATGGTACAAGTCCAAAATAGGTAACTGTATCGAACATTTGTATCGAACATCCTGTGCAGCTGTACACATCATGTGCAACTCAAAATTCGCTGTCACTTTGGAAAGCATGATCTGTGGTCATTCAAAAATTCAAAACTTCTCAGGCGCAGACACAAGCATATCACAAGCAAATCATGCCAAGACTGACAGCTGCACATCGTCATGAAGCCATTGGAATGATCCGAGCGGGAATGAGGCAACAACAGGTGGCAACACATTTCCAATGCCATCGTAACACGATATCGGCATTGGTGAGGCGTTATCAGAACACAAATGACGTTGCCGACCACCCACGTTCAGGACGTCCCCGAGTAACGACGCCAAGGCGGGACAGATGGATTCGAGTTACACATCTCCGACAAAGGTTCCAAACGGCAGTAACGTCGTCCCAGACAATTCCTGGACTGCGCCGTATCCATCCCAACACTGTCAGGAATCGTTTACGTCAGTACGGGATTCGACCAGGACGCCCTGTCATACGTCCCATCCTGACACACCGTCATCGAGTCAACCGTCTAAGATGGTGTCGAAATCATGTTCGCCAACCTCGAATATGGTGGAGAAATGTTGTCTTTACAGATGAATCGAGGTTCAACATTTCCCACAGTGAAGAGCGCCAACGTGTCTACCGGCGTTTGGGAGAACGTTATGCACGCATCTGTATTGTGGAGAGGAATCGTTTTGGAGGTGGCTCTGTGATGATTTGGCGTGGGATAACAAGCACGGCACCGAACCCCTTTGGTGGTTGTTCAGGGCAATCTCACCGGTGTTGGCTACAGATCAGATTCTGAGGCCTGTGGTCATTCCTTTCCTGCAACGTCATGGCCCGGGATTGACATTTCAACAGGACAACGCTCGTCCTCACACGGCTAGGGTTGAAATGGATTTCCTTCACCATAACAATGTCATGTTACTGCCATGGCCTGCAGTTTCTCCAGATCTCTCCCCAATAGAGCATGTGTGGGATGAAATGGAGCACCGCCTGCGTCGTCTTCCACATCCTCCAGATAACGTCCGTGACTTGGCACAGGATTTGAGGAGGATATGGCAGGCCATTCCCCAGGCCTTCCATGCCCATTTGGTGGACTCCATGCGTCGCCGATGCACTGCTGTGATTCACGCACAGGGTGGTCATACCCGTTATTGACTTTGTGACTTTGTCGTATGACCCCCTACTCCATTTTGATCTTCTGACGTCATCGTAACAGATGTTGTTCAGGTCCCGTTGACATTTTCTTATGGTCCGATCATTCAGCTGCTACAGCGTCTGCATCATTTTGTTCTTGCTGTGTTGTATTTCAATCCAGAATATATTTTCTCCGTGCACAGTTTCTTTTATGTGGCTAGTATATAACATATTCCCATCTGCTTGGACACAGCATTAGTGCAGATCGAGAGAATGTTTAAACATGTAGGTATCACTAGTCAATACTTTCTATCTATAAACTAGTTTGGGCAGAACATGGAGTAAACGGCCGGGCAAAAGAAAGTACACCCTTGAAAATAAGATTACTTACTAACGTTACTAGGCTGCAAAAAATCGCCGAAACACTGCAAACTATGACACCCGTATCAATACATCACCATCGATTAACCATTTCTTGTTTGTTTCATTTTAGCCACCATATACCCTCTGTTGCCCGTCAGTTTACATGCCATGTGTGGAGTGATTACTATATCGAAACATAAAATAATACATTACATATCCATGAACATTTATGGATTGTATTGGGTGTATTATGAATTCTTCATGTTCGGGAAAATATATTTCAGTGACATTTTAGAAGCTGTAGAATCAAAGGCGAACGAGTTGATTTCTGGATGCCCTTGGCTACCAGCTCATCTTAACACTGAAACACGGCACTGAAGAAATAACAAAGAGTTGGAATGAACAAGTCAACTCCATATTCTATAGTTTGGGATATTCTCTATCAATATATAATCATAATCTAAAGATGGGGTAAAAGATAGACGGAGCTGCCGCACATCCTATCACAAGGGACATTCCAAGTACAAACACCTCAAAGGGAAATAAAAGCGACAAAAAGATCATGCTCATAAGAAATATCTGCTAAAATAGAGTCCGTTGTACGATTCCAACTACATGAAATAGTGATGTTACCAGGTGTTCGCGAAACCCACTCATTGTAAACATCGCGTAGGCGTTTAACTGAAAAGGTTTTACAAACACACACACACACACGCACGCACACACACACACGCACGCACGCACGCACGCACGCACGCACGCACGCACGCACGCAGGCACGCACGCACACACACACATGCACACACACGCACGCACACGCACACACACACGCACGCACGCACGCCAGCACGCACACACACACGCACGCACGCGCACACACACACGCACGCACGCACGCACACATACACGCGCGCGGGCGCACACACACATACACACATGGGATATATGACAATATTAAACGGTTGTTGCTCACTTGTTTCCAGGTTACACATACTGTCATTGTCTCGTGTTACAATACACGCTATGCGCATTTCTACATGTGTAAAATACAGGCACAAAAGGTCATCTATTAAATAATACTATTAATGCACAAGTAATGGGAACAAATAGTTCTAACAGTTGAAATAAGAAACTGACACTGACAAAAGTATAAAAATAACATCTTTAGAACAAAAACATTTAAATTTGTTCACTATGGTTAGAATAAATATGTACACGTATTCACACTATTGCTAAAGTACTGCCGACGTGGCTTGAAGTGTGAACATAATAAAAGCGACAACACTCTTTCCATAATCATTAGACATCTCTGCTAAAAACAGAGCACATTGTACGATTCTGACTATATCATAAGCATTGATTTGTGAATCCCTATGAAAAAGTGATGATACACACTCATTGTAAGCATTATGTATATATACATTAATATGTACATTATAAACATATAGTCGTTAATAAACAGTGCGATGCATGGTACAGATATAAACAAATAGGGCTGGAAATCAGTAGTAACATATATATATAGTTGTTGCATAGGATGGTGCTAAAATGTGGGCATGTACGAGAAAAATACCACACCATGTCCATAAATAGCCTTTAAAGAAACCAGCATCTATAGAAGTGCTATTGCTACGTACATACATGTATTTACATATGTATAGGGCTAACGTATTTACGGTATCTACATCTACAGCTTCACAACCAGATACACCTGAAGATGACAAAGCTTCTGTGTGATGTCGCAGATGTATCCAGATGTATTTGAGACACGCCCTAGCAGGAGCTGTCGGTCTTCTCACACACGTAGACACGCTCCTCTGAAACAGTGGTTGAAGAAGTTCAACGAGACGAACTTTATTCAACATGCCCGGTGTCAAAATAACGTGTCTCCACATGTTAATTAATGCCTACTATTTAACTTAATGTGCCGTCAAGATGGATAGACTGGTTGCTACACAACTGATGCTGTCATAGAAAACAATTCACTAAACACCAAGACACATAATGAACTACATGATTGTTTGTTTGTTGTTTAACGCCGCACTCAGCAATATTCCAGCTATAAATAATCGAATCTGGACTAGACAATCCAGTGATTGACATCATGAGCATTGATCTACGTAATTGGGATACGATGACATGCATCAACAAAGTAAGCGAGCCTCACCACCCGAACCCGTTTAGTCGCCCCTGGCGACAAGCATGGGTTGCTGAAGACTAATTCTAACTCGGAACTTCAAGGTACACATGATTGTGATCATTTGGCGAGTTTAACAAGGAAAGAAAGTCTAGTGTACTGAAACAAGGAGGTACGGAAACAAACAAAGAAGCGAATGTGGGATTCGAACCCACGACCATACATCACGCCACACCTTAGGGATGCACGGTGGACATTGAATTGCGGCGCCTCAGATGACCGGGCCAGTCAGTGCCGCGTGTGGCCCCTGAAGGCCCTAACACTGAGACTTGACAGCATATAAGGTCAAGAGCCTTGTCTTGATGTTTCACGCATCATTTATCCCAATTGTCCCAATCATGTGTTTGACATAGCAATAACTTATAACACTGTGTAATTGTAAAACCTTGTCAAAGCACAAAATGCGACACTATTACACATCAAGGCTATGTAATGCAGTGTAATCGTGCAAAATTTCATAAGAACAAGGTTACACCAAGTTATGATTATAACGAGTTACATCTTCCCGTGGCAAGGGCGTTAACTGACTATAAAAAGTCCAGTTTCCACCCTTACCGAACTAGGCTGGTATTCTGGAGTTTTGGCTAGACGAACGAGTCGATGCATAGTCCAATCAAAATCGCTCAACGAACTAGATATCCGGTTCGTAAGCAACACGTATTTCAACGTGCAGATTTCGGTCGACTTCAGGATTTGCAAAGCATGTGTACCACAAACTGGGCGTCATTAGATATTTTGCAAACTTGCTCATGTTTTTAATCAAGGTGCTCAAGTGAGTTGATGCACTTCGCGGGGTAAAACCCGTTTTATTACAATAGTGATCTTGATTATCGATCAGATCGTCGTGACTGGGGGCGCCGCCATTTTATTTGAAGCAAATGCAAGTGCTATCAGAGATGGAATCTGATTGGTCAATAGGAGGAACATAGACGTGATCGTGCCTGGGAATTCCAGCGTAGTTCGGCCAGGTTGGAAACTGAACTTTTATAATCAGTTAACTCCCTTGCCTCGGGAAGAAAGACGAGTTAATATTGATGCCGAAAGACGATAGTGTCGAAAGACGTATGAAAATGCATATAGTCTTGTCATTTACATATTGATAAACACCTACTTTTAAGGGACACATGGGTACTAGTATGCATCCAAATGCTCATAAATTCATATCATACAATAACAAGATTTCCTTCCCTTAAACACTCACTTCTTGGGCAATCTTTGCTGAAAGACTAGGCGGACGTGTTACACTTTGTCATCATGTCGATGAAAAAGAGGACGTGAGGGATACCTGTCCTCCTATATTGCAATAGATGAACCTATATATTGCAATAATATCGCAATAGCTTTCCAATATCATTGCGATACTACTGGAACAGTACGCGTGGACTGGAAAGTCACCCTTAGTCAAGATAACATTTCATTACTGCATAAAATGCATACTTATATAACGTGTCATGTCTCTGTGCAATGTTAAGATTGAGATGGTAATAAAACAATTTTTTTCTATATTCATACGATGTTATTTATCAAAATTGAAATGGTAGAGTACTTCACCTACGTCAAACAGGTCTCGGCAGAACGCCTGACATGCCAAGACGTGGAGTCCCCCTGGTTCGCCCCCTGGTTCGCACTGGAGGGGGAAAGTCAGCCGCCTGCACAAAACAGTTCTCCCCCTCTTCACTGTACTTGCTCAAGAGCTTCGCCCATACCGGATCACAACGAAGCAACTTGGAATTTCCTGCATGACACATAAGTGCATCTTATTTAATAGAGCTATTCATACTCGTGACTCTGAAAACATGTATACTGATTCATGTGATAATGTTGTGCATGCACGAATATGGTTTGGTTGTTGGTTGGTTTGTTGTTTAACGCCGCAGTCAGCAGTATTCCAGCTATATGACGGCGGTCTGTAAACAATCGAGTCTGGACCAGACAATCCAGTGATTAATGTCATGAGCATCGATCCACGCAATTGGGATCGATGGCATTCATCAACCAAGTCAGCGAGCCTGACCACCCGATCCCATTAGTTGCCTTTTACGACAAGCATAGTCACCTTTTACGGCAAGTATGGGTTGCTGAAGACCTATTCTACCCCGGAATCTTCACGGGTCTGCACGAATATGGACAGCATGTACGGATAGTACATGGTCACTGAGGAGAGCCAAGGCACATCGTTTGTTTGTTTGTTTGTTGTTAAAACGCCACACTCAGCAATATTCCAGCTATATGACGGCGGTCTGTTAATAATCGAGTCTGGACCAGACAATCCAGTGATTGACATCATGAGCATCGATCAACGCAATTGGGATACGATTACATGCATCAACCAAGTCAGCGAGCCTGACCACCCGATCCCGTTAAGTCGCCGCTTACGACAAGCGTAGTCACCCCTAACAGCAAGCATGTGTTGCTGAAGACCTATTCTACCCTGGATCTTCAGGGGTCCCAAGGCACATAAGTCGTATTACAGCAGTTTATACAATATTAAATATTCTTTCTTTTCTTGTTACGATATGACATTCACACGGTACAGAAGCAAAATAACGTTCTTGGTTCGTATCTACTTCTAATAATTTATTCGAAACAACATCGAATACTTTTCAAATGACACATGCTCTGAAAATAAGACAGGTGTCATTTCTTATTTTTAGTCATTTTGATAATTTATTACCAATGATGATCAGTCCTTTTCTGGCTCGAGTGAGAGATACGTTGATTTGGTTAGCATCAGTGATGAAGCCAAGGTTGTGTTTGCACCAGCCACGTGTTGGGTTACTCTCTATCTTGTAATGAGGAAGCGACCTCACCGTGCTGAAGATCACATAGTCCCACTCACCCCCTGACGATTAAGATGAGAGATTAGTAATTCCATGAAGATTATTTGATTTCAAAAGTTCGTGAAAAACATCTTGAAAACATACATTATTCCACAACTTGATGGTTGGAAACGTGTACAGACCATCCGACTTCGTGTGTCATCCTACCCAAACTTCCAGATGTCAAGTAAAGGGTGGCACAAATTGCCCCTTAGTCATCCTGCTTTTGTTGGTGCACACCAATTACTTAGGCTGTCAGAACAAATAAACATCTTAAAATATGGGACAAAACCCTTTCTATATCCAAAAGAAATTTATGTTTGCAGGACATACTGTGACTGCAGCACATGCTTTTACAAAGGGGCAATCCAAATACAAACAACCTAAACGGAAATAAAATGGACAAAAATAAAAAATAAAAATTTCATAATCATAAGAGCAGACTCTAGAGCAGAGTCTATTGCGCGACTCCACTATATTGTGAGTAGTGTCTTTGAATCACTATCAAATAGTGATGACACAAAGTGTTTGCGACTCCTGTCTACCAGTGGCACCCGTTACAAACACATGCACACCCAAGTGAATTGTTCAGCTGAACAAAACACGGGAACAAATGATACAAGTCAAAATATGGAGTTTCAACAGACATCATTTTGTTGCTGACTTTTAGTTTTCCACCAACATAGAACTCACAGTCCTTGATCTTATTAAACAATTATTCAATCCACTCATTCACCAATTACGAATACTGCTGTATCTTTATGTGCATACTTACCCTGACTAGCAACAACTGTCTGGACATTTAAATGATCAAACGGACCAGCGAGATCCAGTTTCTCCCTGATGGCATGGCGCTGCGCATTGTACTGTGACATCACATTGATGTTCTTGGGCTCAATCTCCTCAGTCTTCACAAGGTACAGGAACACATCCACCTGGAAAGTAACAGAAATATACACAGATCCTGTTCCTACTCATTACATATAGGAAACATGCATAGTGATAAATCATGTTGTATGAGCAGCAGTATGTATTGTAAAGTAATAATGTTTAGATACTTTTTTTGGCAGAAGTACTGATAATCGTGATGTTAGATAGATATTCGTGTAAAGCGCCTACTTACAACTTTTTCTACTTCTTTCATGTTAGACTTGGACTGCTCATTGCCCTCTTCTGTGGACACAGTGAGTGTCGTTTCCTCACCATCCACGTGGCAGAACACCTTGGGGTTGGTCTTCTCAGGCCAAATGGACAGCTCTTGCCCAGGGGCAATGTACCAACGGGCCTCTTCGATCCGAATTGGTCCGGTTATTAACCTTGCTTTGTAGAACTGATCAGATGGGAACTTGCATATCTTTGGATGCTGAAATACATCATATTATATTATTTATTGTCATTTAATGTATATTGCTCATGACGAAATTATCCGAATTTTACTGAAATTGAAACTTTTTTAAAGGATAAAATTATAACTAAGCGTTTCTAACTCTGATCAAATGATATTTCATGTCTGTGTTGAATGCAATGTGAATTCCTCACCATTCTGTACTGGATGTTGAGGAAAGATGCCTCATCTTTGTATCTTTCAAACAAAGACTGGTCTAGCCCCAACTGTGCAGCATGGGTAGACTTAACAATTGGCCTCAGCTGCTGGTGGTCCCCGATCAGCACCACCTGCTCCGCCTCAGTAGCAACAATCGGGATCATACTCTGTGGTTCTGGGCACATTGCACTTTCATCGATAATACACTGGAAAATCCGAGTTGGCTTTGTAAGCTTTGTGCTCCCAGAGACTCCGCAAGTGCACAAGATCACGTCGCATATCCGCAGTTCTGCTTCCTCGGCTTTTCCAACGAGATAATTGTAGTCTTTTATGTCCCTCACGCTGACGTTCGTCTCATGAAATGAGATATGATAAGTCTTAGCCAAACCCCATAAATGTCATCTACATCTGTATTATGTGGTCAGTATCAGCTTAATTCAGAATGCATCACTTAGGAAATATGAACATTAAGAAATATGGCCATTCAATTTATATCTACAAACATTATATGAAATCATTTAGTAGAAGAGATAAGAAGTTGTTTAAAACAAATCTTACTCCCTCTGGATCTTTTGCGAACTTAGCATCATATTCATTAATCTTCTCCGCATACGGTTTTCCCTTCTGTCTGATGACATAATGCAGGGTGATGCTTCTCAGGTCAACATCGGATTTGAGGCCCCTTGTACTTCTTTTTGAGATGAAGACACGCTTTGGTATTGGGAAGTCTTGGTTTTTTATTGTTTTTCCGTACATCCGTAAGATGTTCGGACACTGATTTCCCAGCTTCTGCATGAGGTACTCTGGGAAACAATCCGATTTTTTTTATGTCAACAACTAGGGGTGTTTGCAAGTACTTGCAACAATAGAAACAATCCAGTCACGGAAATTTCCTCCAAGTTTCCAGAGTCTCATTATGCTATCATGTACATATACCTCCAGTTCAAAAGCATTATTGTCTTGACCTTAATCTAGGAGTTTTGGTATGAGCCAACAATTACAATGTCTGATGGGTTGTATATGTAAATGTGCAACTGTAACTGGCAATGACCATGAGTTCCTTGAACTTTGGAAAGATACATTCAAGTGTAGAGGTTAATCCCTATAGAGGTAGCCATGCCTCAGAAACTGACAGAGATATAACCATGTGTTACAACAGGGATGATTTCAACTTTCGAATAGTCTCTGATTTCAGCAGATATTTCTTTTGAATGAGGTGAGGTGAAATTGGGTTAACGTGGCGTTCAAGATTATTGCACGTATAGAGCGACGTGCATACACGTGTGTGTATGTGTGTGTATGTGTGTGTAGCTGCTTGTACTAGTCTGGACTAGCCGATTTTATATAGTGCTAGCACACCGAGATACCATGCCGCAGTTAAACATGAATACCCAACTCAGACACAGTATACTGAATCCTTGCCTAGCTGACCTTGTTTTAGCCCCATAATGCCGAGCGCCAGGCAGGGTAACAACAAGTATAATCTTTTAACGTCTTTTGGTATGACACGGTCAGGTATCGAACCCTAGACTTTGTGCTCTCCAGGCAGACGCTCTACCACCAGACCACGGAGGGGGTCCCTTTTGAATATGAAAAGACCCATGCCTGTGGAGGTAAACTTGTTTCAGAAACTGACAAATATATAACCATGTTTTACAGAAACCTTAACGCTATGAGGTTTGACCAATCTCGACCAAAACATTTTGAAGCAGGGTCCAATTCTAGAGAGGGTATATACCAAGTTTGATGATAAATGCATTAATATTTTTAGAGAAAATGTAAGCACAAATGGTTTTTGTGATTTTCGCTGAAACCTTGACTTTGACCTTTCATGAAATGTGGCAAAATAATTCCCCAGGGCCATTTGGAAGACGTCCATGGAAGAATAATATCGAATGTCAAAAATGTTTGTATAGAAGACATAAGTAAAATCTACGGTGGCAGCGACGGTCAAATTCAAACAGAATCTTGAAACAGTCCCTACTTCAGTCTACTTCCCTTTTGTTTGGAAACACATTTTCAACAAGTCTCCACCTTCTTATTAGTTTACTCTTATCTCAGATAACATGAATATACCTACTGGCAACGAGGTCAACAGACTTGTTTGAAGGTCCACAGAAGAGGATTTGCCTCTGCTCCTTGTCATAACCCTTGCTGTGCATTTCCTTGTTGATTTTGTTGAACAAATAGACCAGCTTCAAACCTGTGTACGTCTTGCCGGTGCCTTTCCAATGTATGAATTGAGAAAAATATAGAATTAGGTAACCAGTTCAAGGGCATATCGACATATCAAAGTGCATTTTGACATGTTTCAAATCATTATTACTCAAGAACATGAACCATTGGCATACCATTGCTTGTCGGCTTAAACAAAATGGTAAATATTTACTACCTGTATCACTTTGGCTTTCCCCACACGAACGTACACACTGTGGAATAACTTAAATACTGCTCAAATCGGCGTAGACATAATTTACGTGTGATTCTGTTATGCTCAAAGTATATTTTGATGTACCTTAACAGTACTAGTATTAACTGCGAGGTTAAACTCAATGCACCCAAGTATTGGGGTGAGTGAGTGAGTATGGTTTTACACCGTTTTTAGTAATATTCCAGCAATATCACGGCGGGGGACACCAGAAATGGGCTTCACACATTGTACCCATGTCGGGCATCGAACCAGGGTCTTCGGCGTGACAAGCGAACGCTTTAACCACTACCCAACCGCCCGGGCCTACCAAAGTATTGTATCCAAAGTACTGACAAATATGTTTACGTACCCGGTGGACCCTGTATGAGACTGAAGGGTTCTACCAGAGCCCTCATGATAGCTTTCCTCTGGCTCTTGTTGTTGGCAGGCATGTAGCCAGAACCAACCAGTTCCCCTTGAAGAATATCACATGGATTCTTCTTGCACACTTGAAGCCGAACGTCGCCTGTGATTGTGAAAACAATAATTACCGATTTATGTAAAAAAAATTATCATCAGTATTCATGCCATCATCAAGACATACCATGGACTTAATACGCACATCGTGCTCATTGACACTCTATTTTACTCTATCTTTAAATAAATGGCGAATTTAGAAATAGTATTGCAATATTGAAATGAAATATGATAATTGTACAGAAATTGATTCAAATTGCAAAATATGTTCATTTCCCGTTATCGAAATGAATGTATGTTTTCTTTTCTTAGTTTTCAGACCGAAGTTGGTAACTCTCACTCTACTAAAACAAAAGGTCAAAATTGATTACTTAGAGGCCTTCTCTTCAACTTCAGAGCAATGCTTGTTGCCAAATTGCTGTCCTCATTGTCCTGTAGACGCCTCAGCATCTGCTCACTTCTCCTGAAGGTAAGCACAACTAGATTCCATTATGTGAGTATTCAATATGATTTTTTGAATTCAAACATAGGAAAATGTTGTGGTTCATAAAGATTTATCATTAATTACAATAATTTTATTAAGTCAGCTTTACTTTTATAACTAGAGCACAGATAGACGTATTCATACACCTATTTACTAAAACATGAAACCCCTAACTGTTATCTTAACCTTACCAATTATCTATGATAATGTCAGTATTTCTTTTGCAAAGGGGCTAGTGGCTTCTGGTGAAATACGTGAGTCACTTTATACCTGTCAACTTCACTTTTGAAGATGATTTCTACCAATGCTGAAAATTCTGTTCCTAGTAAGTGTCGAGGAGGAGGGATAGAGTTGGGCATCAACTGGAATGTTGTTCTGATCCATCCATGATCATCACGTGGGGATTTGATGTCTTTTCTAATCTTCTTTATAACAGCATGTCCTATCCACACACACGAATCTTCAAATATATAGCTCTTCCTTTGGTAATCATTTGGAGTATATCGAATACAAATATATTCCAAAGATCCGTGTTTAGGAATGTCATCAAATGGTGACTCGCCAGTTTTCATTTTCTGTATGGCCTCAAAGGTCTTCCCATCTATCTCAATTGTGCATGCATCACAAAACGCAGAGTCCAAGGAAAAGCAGCCATATATCAGATCATTTTTCCTCTCCAATCTCACATTTAGATTTTTTAAGATGATCGTTCCCTCACTACCAACAGCTCCAGTAGCTGATTCCATTTCTACAAGTGGTAGCCATGTCCTTTGATAATCCTTTGTTGATGTGAATTCACAATTTCTGACAGATCTCTTGACATACTTGGCAAAGGTGTCAACAGGATCATGCCAATGACTTAGGCAAAGATTCAGGTCTTCACACACCTGGAACATCTGTACATATGGTGTGAGCGATCCCTGATCAGCAGTAGCATGCATCTGCACTCTCAACATCTGACCTTGGCTGAAATTGAAGCCAAATCTGCAGTGGTGGTTTATGTTCCATGCCTCACAACAATCAGCTACCACCTTTTGGACCCCTGTTCCATTCAGATAGCAGTGTTCTCCTTTTGGAGATAGGGTTCTTGTTACACTACTAATCCTATCAGGGTTCTCAAAAACAGCCTTCAACAGTTTGGCAAAATCAGATATTTGAATGTGTACTGTGTGCATGTTTGAGTCAATTGTCACTTCCTCCGTCCCTAGTGTGTTGCTTGATTGTGAAGCTTTCGTTTCCTGACGGCCCCTTGGCGTCACTACACCATAAATTCTCTTGTTCCAGGCCCCACGTACATTCGTCTTGTTAATGTCTGGGCACCGTCTTTCTTCAGGTCTTCTGCAGAAATCCAGCAGCTTGAATTGCAGTTCTTTGCTTCTGCGGGTCATCTTTTTCAGTGATGGTATACATAGTGTAACCTGACTATCACACACTGAATCAACAACAGCATCAAACAACATTGGTGCTGAGGCCAAGTGTTCAGCCTGCTTGACACATGTAGATGCTCTACCAAAACGTCGTTGTCTCTTGCACGCTTCGGTGACAACTGAGCAAAGAGAGTTCATCTCTTCTACTGTGTACGGAGGTGTATTCCGTTTTTCAAGTACAGCATGTACCAGACGATGGTTGATAAGATCAACATACCTTCGTATAGGCGATGTAAAGTGAGTGTATGGCTGGATATTCAAAGAGAAGTGCTGCAGATCCTTCCCTGTGCCATACCCAGAACATTTGTACACAGCAGATTCCATAATGGCAAGCCAGTGACTTGTAGCAAGACACTGTGAGGGGTGTAGCTGATCACAACAAAGAAGACCTCGCACTGTCTGCAGATCCTTTTCCCTGACTGCTTCAAGTATTTTCCCCCAGACATTCCTTTGAACTGTGACATACTTTGTTCTATGATCAGTCGACGTCTTACACTGTTTGTCAACATTGACTATTGTCTTGTCCTGAATGTTTTTTCCCTGAAGTGTAACAAGCAAGTCCATGATATGTGCTTCTTCTTGAATCCATTTCTCCAACTCTTCTTCTGGCGGAGGATCTTGACACCGAAGAGGAACACAGGCTCTGTTGTGTTCCATCAACCATGACGCTATAAACCGATTGGCTTTTATCATGAATTCTTCAACCAGAGCATGAGCCTCCAAAGCATGTAGGAGTGTCTCAACGTCAAGCAATCTCGGATCCTCGAATGGCACATTGAATCGGGAGTTCTTCAAACGTTTTGAGCGAATTTTCTGTGACAATTTGTGAAGCTGTTTGATACAGAATTTGAGGTGATCAGGACAGTTGACATCTTCACATTTTCCATCTATAATCAGCTGTGCCTCGTCATATGAAAACTTGCGACAAGATCGAATGATGTGTTTCTTCACAACAGGTTTTTCAAGATCCAGTCCATTGCCATCAAGAACAAACAACACAGAAAGGACTTGTCTCTCCTTGTCAGGTAATAAGCTCAGCTTTTCCTGGCTAAGTGGTTCAGGCAGCATGTTGTGACTTCTCCAGTTTGACGATGGGTAGAAGGTTGTAGCTCTCTGCTGAGCCTCATTGTCCACAGGATCACCCTTCCTGACAACAGCAGCAACATCTGCAATGTGGACCCCAACCACAAAGTTGTCTCCTGTTTTCCATATACTCAGGGCATCATCAAGGTCTTTTGCATGTGGGGGGTCAATAGTAAAAACACTTTGTTCTGTCAAATCATTATATCCTTTTACAGATAGTTTGTCATGCTTTAGCAACTCTTCTACATGTGTAACTGTTGCCTTTGTGTAATAAGTTGGTACTCGAAACTGTTGCTTCAGGACATTGAGGCCTGAAGCATAGTCCCCTCCACAATCTAAAACCCTGAGAACAGCACCTTTTGGATATGTGTGTTGAGGAAGCCATGTTAGAAATACAACCAGAAACACATATTGGCCTCTTTTATTCGGCAAAATGTCGAAATATTTATCAAACTCAAGTTTTCTTTTGTGACCAATTTTGTAGACATCAATTCTGTATTTATGTTCTTGATGGTTCTCTTTCGTTCTTCCAGTCCAGATATAGATTTTTGGAACACTTCTACACAATGGATGCATTACATCCACCTCCTTTGGATTGTTGCTACATGCTAGCAGTGGAAAGTCCAAATCTTGAAATTTGCTGCTGAGAGTACCAACAACTTTTCCAAAGACTGTGTCACTATTGTCATTTTCTGGGTTCAAGATTTCAACCACAACTTCATCATTGTTGAATGTTTGGCCACATTTTCCACGACCATGAATCTCTATTTTGTGATTCTTCTGTTCAGCCTCCAAAACTTTACAGGTAGCTCGATGAGGACCATCCAGTTCTATACGACACCTCTTGTACCTTTCTGGGTCGGTGGCCAATATATCTTCTAGTTTAGCCTTGTCCTTCAGTTGGTCATACCGCAAACCCCGTCCTGTTTGTGGAGGCTTACGAATGTAGTTAATTTCTAACCCTTCTCCAGTAACAAGTTCATCCTCTTCCCCTCCTTTAGCGTACAATTCCTGACTTTCTTCAAACCATGTTTTTCTCACTCTTTCTTCTTGAGCATCATCTTTATGACCTTCTTCCTCTTCAGATTCAGATTCAGACCAGTCAAAGGATGCCTCTTGTGGAGGATCTAACCCTTCTCCATCTTCCCCGCTGAGCTCTTCCCAGGGATCAACCTCTATCATAACTTCCTCATGGTGTCTCTGGGCTGCATATGGGCGGTATGTTTGGGGTTCAGCTGGCTGCTGAATAGCCTTTAGAGTCAAGTCTGAATGGGGCATCTTGTCTTGTGCAGCATTTTGTGATAACCTTGTTTTTGGTATGGCTGAAAAGATATTTGATGGTATATCTTCTATAATAACAATTCCAACTGAATATTCATTTTTTTTACACTGAATGATGACCAACTATTTAGATATAAACACATAGATTTGAGCAAATCATGCGCCACATAATGCAAAATTATGTTAATGTAGATGAATGATTTAGCAATACATCATGCCATCATAAGTGATCAGTAACAAGACATGCATGCAACTTACCTTTCGTTTTGTATTTCTTTTTCTTATGTTCAGCTTTCACTTTCTGTGCCTTTTCTTGCTGTGACTACGAGAGAAAGAAAATAGGTTCATCAGCAGTAGCTAGATGTATTTAACATCAAGGAAAATGACAACATATATTTTATTATTTAGATGAATTTCTTCTCTTTAATCAGTATTAGTTATTATTATGCAAGGAAGCCTGGAAATTTGTATGGAGACTAGAGACAACAAATGTTTAGATGTACAGTAAATTTCTCTTACTTAAGTCTGGTTATGCGTTTAATTATTGAGGTTATGTATGTATCAATGTAGCATAGTTTCCTTTCAAATGTGCTGTTTTGATTCCTATTGTGATTGAGGCAGATATGTTTGATAATGTAGCAACATTCCTTAGAATGTCTAATACCATTGTTGTTTGATTAAAAATATTCAAGAATGATAATTTATAGGTAATTACGTTTCAATTATATTTTGTAAGATTTAAAGCAATTATGTCATGAACAGGAGGATAAGAGTAGTTTTCGGCCTTTCAGTCGGGTGGTCTTGTAGCTACAATCTATTTGGGGCTAGTCTGTTTAGTTCTTTTTTTAAATCAAATACGTGTTTGAAAGACATTCCCTACCTTAAGTGCGTTGTGCAAAACGTTTTGGTCTTGGAGCCATTCTGGGTTTGCTTCAGGTGTAGGATGATGATGTGAAGCCATTTGGCTTTCTTGGCGCAAGGAATCTAAGTATTTCTGAAGACGGCGTTTCTCATCTCCCATTGTGTCCTGCTGAAAACATATCACATGTGTTCATTAAGGTGAGGCCAGAAAGCTGGACAAGTCAAGCAATATCCTGACCAAGACTCAGTGCAAACCAAAGGGACTTAATGATTACATATTTTGTAAAGGACAAACCATGCAACAGTACTAAATTGTCAACCAGATGTAGTTTTACAATGTCAAATGGGTATACAAACAAGAAGTTAAAAGACAAGATATTCTGTAAGGATGAAATATGATCATTACACAGGAGGCGAGCGCCAGTTCCGCACACTGAACTGCCAGTCTCATGTCCCCACGGTTGTGACAGCACTTTGACCACACTTCTAGGGCATCACTGTCATCCATGTCAAAGTAAATCTCCGCAGCTGCAACAAGCCATATACCAGATTGTTGACCCTCGTATAATATATGTTTACCAGTATATAATTTACTTATATATTCCAGTTTATGTTCATCGATATATGACTTCAGCTTACGTTGATATCAGCTGGATTCTTTTTTCATCATTATGTGAGTGAGTGAGTGAGTACAGTGCCTCGTATAACAATCAATAGGATGCTGAGTAATGGATAAGTCATTATATCGGATAAGATGAAACATGATATTTGCCTCCAGCTTCGACACTTAATTGAAATATCTTTTTTACATCTGAGATGGGAATAGATATGTCAAAATTAGTTTACTGAATAGTCATCTACTTTCAAGTTGCTCATAATATCAATCACTGGTTTGTCAGGTCCAGCTTTGATTATTTGAAGGCTGACGTCTTAAAGGAATATTACTGAGTGCGGCATTAAACACCAAATTGACGTGAAAGTCCCTATCCCAGATTGGTATCATGGTTGGGTAGAATAACTCACTTTTATAGTACTACTAGTGTTTTATCACATTGCATTGGTAGATTATTTTGGACCAGACCACGATATATTATTCATATATACTCTGTAGGCCAGCTATGCCGTTTATAAAACATACCGACTTTCGCCATCTTTCCAGCAGCTGCATACAGCCCCTGCGAAAGATGGTAGTATTACACATTACAAAGAAGATGTACACTTTTATCGTAAAGGTTGAACATTACCTGATTGCAGTTAAATGTATCTTGTAGCCAACTTTAACAACCATTAATTATTAGTATATGGTATTTATTGAAGTTGAAATGTTTTAACATCCTGGCAAGGCTATTTTTCTTAATCACCTTTTCATAAGCACATTTGGCTATCACAAGGACCAAATGTTTTGTCTTGCCAATGAGGTTGTTGGGATGAAGCCTCATCCTGCAGTACGCTTTGAACACACTGAGGGAGGTGAGACAACACACGCCGGGGTTTTCTTTGTAGGTATTTTGTACCATCAGGCGTAACTCCAACAACAGCTGAAGCAGCTCCTGTAGCATTAGAGAAATTAGAGGCTTCATGAATTTCTTAAGAATATCTTTTGTTTGAGTGAGTGAGACCTTCACTGAATTCAAAATCGTGCTCAACTGGGAATTATACACGCTCGTACTGTGTCTGTGCTACCTCGAGTGATTGGGTATGGTTTTACGCCACTTTTAGCAATATTCCAGCTTCACACATTCTACCCATTTCGGGATTCGAACCTGAGTCTGCGGAGGCTCGAGCCAACGCTTTAAGCACTAGGCTACCCGACCGCTCCAACTTTTGATTGAAACAATAGCCGTTGGTCTTTCTGCGGGAGTGGACATTGACGATGGAGGTATTACTTCGTCCAGTTTATGATCACTTATATACTCCTTTCAAGCTAATGAAGATTTGATGCATTTGTCTTGACCTTTGAAAATTGTGCTTTAAAGGGATTCTTTTGGAATGGCTTAATGCAACCGAAGGAGCAGGATACGCTCACCCTTTAATTAGTTTATAATGATTCATTAACAGATGCCTATGATATAGTCGGAATTGAAGAATGGACTCCGCTTTAAGCATAGGACTTTTTTTTTATTGTGGAAAGGGTTTGCTGCTTTTATTTTAAGAAGTTGTCAAGAAACCTTCCAATGGTTTTAATAATTACCGTTTATGATTGTCGATATAGATTTATTATTCTGAGCAGAGTTACTTGCATTGGGCGTACCAGATACTCATCATTATAGGTTCGAATCCTAGACTTTCCGTACCATAGCCGTGCTCGTGGGTTTCCCCATAGAGGTAAACATTCAACACCTGCATCACATCCTCCCCACATCAGGCTAGCACGCGGAGATGCAACTGAAATACTGTACAACGTAACATGTACCTAATTCACTCACTCACTCATTCGTCAACGCAGAATTTCCATACAGTAAAACAACTATTCAGTCCAGGTTATAACAAAAATAACAAAATTCATTTACCTCATAGCGGTAAGCAGTAAACTGTGTGTTATGGAACACAGTTTTCCACAGGGAGGTTTCTATCTTCTCGAATTCCTCTGATAGCTTCACCTCAATGTCTTCCTCCTCAGGGTCGTCGTGCATGTACACTTCCAGCTCCCCGGTCAAAGTCAATGCTGCAACACCCATCAATAGCCTTATCAAGATGACCGTCACCTTGGCACAGAGACACGCAAACGTGTGTGCAATGATTGTTTTATACATAACTGTTAAAATTGAAACGGAAATCCAGCAGGTGAGCTTAAATTATTTTGAATAATTTAGAGGCATTATATTGCATATTTCATTCCCTTTCATTTACGTGAATACCTCTTTCTAACTACGAAAACATTAAAGGATTACTACCCATTTTACCAGACAGAAAATTGCCTCATATATTAACTCTCTGAATTTGAGGTTATCTCTGTAAACGTGGCTTCGGCATTCCATCAAAATGTAGATTGTAGTTTCTTCATTATGGGTGTTCCATGTAGGTTTAAGTTATAGTTTCATGTTCGAGAAACAGGTGGTTCCTCAGAAAGTAGTATGGAACAGGCTCAATTATGCTATTCATTTCAATGTATCCAACAAGGAAACATTAATGTACGCATTTGTACATTCAGAGAATCAGCATCTGCCACATCCTGTCCAGAGATGAATAAGGTTCCATTTCCTGCGAGTTTGTCACGGAGTGTATATCTTTTGGGTCGCTTGCAGGACATTTTCATGATTATTGTATTTAGTTTGAAGATGTATTTTTATCATATTTTTGATAATTGTTATGTCTCTGTGTGGAGGGTATTCGGATTTTGAAATTGCAAAAGATCTGGTGGAGGTTTTGGTAATTTTGACATATCTCTGTTACTTCAAGTAATTTTGAGTCCCTGTGAAAGAATTGACCAAGCATCCAGGATAATGACAACCAAAGATGTGGACAATTTACCAAATGGCACCAAATGACTAAATTTGTACTTTTGTTTTTGTAATACAACTGATTATGATAGTATTATGTGTTAATGATCATGTGTTTAAAGAAAGTTGGTTAAAACTAGGGACTTGTCACAGTTTCATCTATCTTCAAACTATCTCAAGAAACTTTACTCTGGTACCGCATCCATTGGTATAAAGATTTGTTTGTTGTAGTGATGTTACCATGGAGTAGACAATGTTTACTCCTTTGTACGATATGTCTTTGTACTCTGTGATCAAGTAAATACGTTATTTTGACAATATATCATGATACAAGTCATCGTAAAAAGTGAGTGTTGTTTCTTCTGGAGATAGCTAATTTCTCAGTTCTGATGTCTGAAGACAACTAGCGCCAACACCCACTCTGGTGCATGAGAGTCTCCTCAGAAATCACAAGGTAATGATGAACTTAACATCAAATAAACTTGTACTGAAGATTGCGTTAAGAGAGGACATCCTCAGGCATACTTACCATTGTACAAAAATCGCAGGCCATTCAGAACTTGACTGCACCTCTGTAATTATATCATGTGTACATTAACTAGTGTATGCTCTATATTTTAGCAACACGCGAGTTGTTGTAAATAAATTAGCCAAATCCCTTCCCATAAACACAAGAAATCTATGTCCAGTTTGTACGATTACAACTATATAATAAGCATAGGTTAATGAATCACTATCAAATAATGGTAATACCAGGAGTTTGCGAAAAATTCAGCGTATTCTACCTTATCGGTGGCACCCGTTACAAACACTTGCAAAAAGCACGGGAAGATATGGTACAAGTCAAAATAGGGGAACACTATTTTTGTCACTGATGGGTCAAATGTGGAAATGCCCCACACATGTCTGTCATAAACCTATGTTTTGCTGAAACTTTTAGCACCTGGTATCGTCACTGCTTGATAGTGATTCATAAACACATGCTCATTATAATTATATAGTCGGAATCGTACAATCGACTCTGTTTTTGGCAGAGATTTCTTATGAACATGGAAAGGCTGTTGTTGCTTTTGTTTCATATCTTAACCCGCATCAAGCAACAATGTGCAAGAGTCGCACTACGCTCTTTGAAATCTTCATTGAAACAGCAAGCTCGATTGAACTCCAAAATATGTCAAATGTAAACACCAGAGGCTGGAGCCCATGGAATGTTGCTCAACATTCAAGGAAAGTTGACGTTAGGAAAGTTACAGTCACACCTCTTGTCATACAGACTTGTGTCACATGTTACGAACAGATCTAAACATGAAACAGATGAGACGGTTTCACTGGGTTGTTCTTTATTTCTACTTCGGGTGGGTGAGTGAGTGAGTTGGGTTTAACGCCGCTTTTAACACTATTCCAGTTATATCGCGGCGTGTCAGCTTAATGTGGGAGGAAAGCCCGAAGTGATGCAGGTCTCAGACGTTTACCACTTCGGTGAAACCCACGAGCACGGGTATGGTGCTGACAAACCTAGAAACATAATCGAGGCGAACCGGGATTCGAACCCACAATCATATGTTTCTGGTGTGCCCAAGGTAAGCAACTCTGCACAGCGAATCGCGGCGCCTTAGCCGACTGGGCCACCCTTGCCCCCTAGTTCGGGTGGGTAAATCAGTGGAAGGAAATTAACGATACTAGATCATGGATATCCCTGAAACTGAATGATTTGTCCAATTTCCTATGTTTTCATTTACTCATTCCGAGCAGAAAATCCGATGCATGTGCATAAAGAAACAGATCAGCAATTGCTGCTCTAGGGGATGCCTACTTCTTGCCTTATGTCATGTCCCAAATACACAAAGATGTTATCCATGAGGAAGTCCAGCAATTCTCATTTTGTATTCTCAGTACATTTCAGATGATATTTGCTTTCATTTTTGACAAATTGTTTTGAACCTTTGAAGATAAAAATCCAGCAAAATCCTTCGACTTTTGGAGAATCCACATGGTATTAATTCCACTTGACGCAAATACATATGAATATAATGTCTGTCCCTGATTTTATTAAGACCCATGGTTAATCTTTGAGACAGAGATTTGGTGGTACATTATTGGTGGTACATTATAATACTATCTGCACTTTGAGGCTATCGTTACTACATAATCAGGAACCACCCCAATTGTAGTAATGAATTTGTTGAAATGCATACAAGACCCGTCTCGAGGCAATTCTGGGCTTGAGCAAAACAACTCTGCTGTAACCAGTACACATTTATACTTTGGAGGTCGATATTAATAAAAAAAATATGGACATTAACTACTGAAAACATAATATTCAATTAACTGTTACATCGACATATGTGCTAAGCACCATGCTTCTACCCACTAGCTACAGAGGGGTTCACACCCTCAATCAGCGGATCCTGACACGGCTAAGGTACGCAACTATGCCTGGACTATTGAGGAAATGAAATACACATACCTCCAGTATGAAGAGTCTGTTGAGTCTTGCACATACTAGTTGACTAAACCTAGCCGTTGTCGTCATGTTACTTGGAGTAGTTGCTGATATCGCAGTCATCGCCGCTTTCTTGAATTTACCCGCAGCATGTTTATCAAAGCTTCCATCCTGGACCTTCTCAACAGCTTCACGAACAACCATCTCCAGTTCAGTCTCCTGAATTTGTTCAAAGCAAATGAACGATACTTTAACACACCCAATAAAGATAGTCATCGAGCCATACTAAAAGGCTGGGAGACCTATAGTTGCACCATGGACGAATACGTCCCAATGGAACTCGTTTTCAGCACGCATCAGCAGTACAAAACAATATAACACGGTCATAACGAAACTCCAAGGGCCTGTTGTTATGTTCCTTATAATCACATCATAATCTATTTGCCCGCCATTTGTAATAGAATTCACGATCTTGTATGCAAAAAATCGGAATGAATTTACTTTATATATTCACGTTTTTTAAAGAGCTGTAAATAGTGAAACATGTACTTGAGGTCATATCTTTGCATTCTGACAGACAGACATTTTATTGGGTATTTAAGACCGCATGGCCCATTGTACGGTTGATATTTTAGTTTCATTTCTTTAGTCACGTGATACACATGATATACATGGTATACAAAATCTATCTGACAGAGAATATATGCTTCAACAATTTTGCTGGTGAACGTGTAACATAAGAGTTGTTAGATTTTGTTTTTATGCATATTGGTAAACTAGGGAATGTATGGAGGCGTAGCCACTCGTGAAAATATCACCTTTTCCCCCGTCACGAGATGAGAGAAACATAATATTTCACTCAACACATGGAATATCCTATTTATTATATAATTTTTGTGCAATTGTCTACGGAAAATTAAACAAGTTCATTACAAATGTAAAACCTTGAAACGTAAATTCTCCCTACTTGACACACAGGGACGGTTCACCACCCCTTGTATTTGCGACTTAAAAAGTAGTTTCGTGTTTGCAAAATCTTAAACAAATATAAACAAAAGTATTAAAAAATATTGAGGGTCACGAAAATTCTTTATCATACATTTCGATATGAGTTTATACAAAATCAACTTCAACAAAAAATATTCTTGAATACCAGGAGACCGCTGAGAGAAGCGAAAGAATACATGCTGGTCAAGTAACAAATATGGGGCGTTGCGAAACGAACAGTCTCCATTGACGAGTTAAATGAGAGATGTACAGTTTATAACGAAACATTTTCGAGAGAAAAATAAACGGCTAGAAGTGATATTAACTCCATAAATGACTATCCGTCATTATTTTGCCTTGTTCATGTGGAACTAACTTAAAACGAACGTCAACAGTTTGTGTACGGGCCAGTCAATTTTCGGAGACAATTAAAGGGGAAGTAACTCTTGTATGACAATAGTTCCGTCAAAGTGTTATGTTCACAGCAGTGAAATATCAAGTGTTTTGTTCACTGCAGTGACATTTCAAGTGTTATGTTCAGTGAAATGAAAATATCACCTTTCTCAAACTCAGTCTTTCAAACTCAGTATATAATAAACTTTTGCCTAAGATGTTTATACTTGTCACATACTAATAGAACACGAAATTCATCCACAATCTCTCCTGACTGACAGTTATTACAGTTTTCAAAACCACCTTTTACACAGCTACATCTAAAATTTACATTGAAATTGTGTAACTGCACTCTGAATTTACATAAAGCCCTAACAAGCGATTTATCATCTAACATACTCTGTTTCTATAGCAGACTTTATCTGAGGAAACGTGAAGAAGATTTATTATCATGCCAGTTTCGACACTGTAACCTTTGTTAGAGAATACATTTGTATCCTGAACATCTTGGGAAATCCACACAAATGAATAAGGACATGATATATCTGATATTGGACACCCAATTTGTTTTACCATTGTCATCAATAGCTTTCAGTAGTTTATGACATAGACAAGGATATCTTTGCGATTCCATCCTCAGTAATTTTAGCCAATAGCTGGTCATTCGGAGTTGATTTAACATATGAATGGGATAGAGTCCCTTTTCACCTTAATTGCTTTATTGGAAGACTATTTTCCAACCATTAAAAAGCGTTTAAAGTATGAAGAATGTACGTTTTCAATAGCGTCATTATATTTTACGTCAAATATTTCATCCCCGTAAGACAACATTGATGTAATTTTGCCGTTAAATATATGTATATTTTGCTTGAAAAAAATATAGATAGGTATAATTGCTTTTGATGCTCGCGATGCTAATTGTTTGCACGCAACTGACCCATGAAAGTTTAGATGATAGCGTGATAGAGTGAGTGAGTGAGTGAGTTGGGTTTAACGCCGCTTTTAACAGTATTCCAGTCATATCACGGCGTGTCAGCTTAATGTCGGAGGAAAGCCCAAAGTGATGCAGGTCTCAGACATTTACCACTTCGGTGAAACCCACGAGCACGGGTATGGTGCTGATAAACCTGGAAACATAATTTGGGCGAACCGGGATTCGAACCCACAATCATAGGTTTCTGGCGTGCCCAAGGGACGCAACTCTGCACAGCGAATCGCGGCGCCTTAGACGACTGGGCCCCCGTGCCCCCGTGCCCCCCGTGCCCCCCAGCGTGATAGAAGATAGATGAGAGATGATATTAGTAACAGGTTTTAAGAGAATATTGCTTTATCTCCATTTTTCACGTTTGGAAATTATTTGGTTTTGACAAATTAACTTCCAATCCCCATTTGATGCAAAAAGAATGTAATACATTCAATGTGTTTTTTTACCATTAACAGAATACGAAAACATGATAATATCAACAGCAAATAGAAGTAACATTAAATCTATAATATGACATTCATTATATATTTCTCTGACAAAGTTATTAATGAAGAAAATAAACAAAACTGGACGTACACCACTTGATGTTAAGAAGCACTGTGATTTACCAGATTGTGTTTTAATACAAGTCATTACCGATGAATACATATTTGTTATAATTGGAATAAATGTCCCATGACATCCTTTGGTAAGAAGTAAATATTACATTTTTCTCTATCAACATAATCGAAAGCTTTTTTGAAATATACAAATGCACAATAAAAGCGACACCTAGGTTTACATAAATACTTGGATACAGAAAGCTTGCAATATAAATAAATTGTCAACCGTTGAATAGTTGGACGAAAACCAGCCGGAAGTTCAGATAGAAGATTATTCACGCAGCTACAAGTAAGCAGCTGCCCGGATACATTTAAAACAGAAATGCCTCTGAATTGTTTGGATCAGACCTTGTACCCGATTTATACAATGGTTATATCATACCAACGTCCCTCGACTCCTGAAACACTCCAGTATTCATAATTGTATTAAATAATAATTCTAAATATGATATAAGAATACTGCCTGTTTACCTAAACAATTCAGGTCTTCGCCGACAGAATTTACAACTTTCAGATTTTGTATTCTGGTAAATAGTAACAAACAATCTCTAACAATCTAAGAGTGAGTGAGTGAGTGGGTTTGGTTTTACGACGCATTTAGCAATATTCCAGCAATATCACGGCGGGGGACACCAGAAATGGGCTTCACATATTGTACCCATGTCGGTAATCGAACCCGGGTCTTCAGCGTGACGAGCGAACGCTTAAACGACTGGGCTACCCGTCCGCCCCCTAACAATCTAAGAAACATACCACAGCACTAGAATTCAGCAGAAGGTATGTGAGCAGTCAAATGACATTATACCACTGATGACGTCACCCTCCTGTCATCTCAAGAGAGTCTTTTGTTCGAAAATGCCAATCGACTTTGTGACCGAGATCGTTTGCAATAAGCTGCCGGCGAGATGACAGCTTGAATAGTTTTATTGATTTGGTATGCACCGGTGAATGGTTTTACTTTATAACCATTTTATACAGCAAGTTGATTAAACGTGCCTCACAAAGTAAACACTTATTATTGTACGGGGATTTTGTCACACAGGGCTTACGTCCAAACATTGATATGATCGCCCGATGGCTACAAGCTAAACATATATTCGAGAACGGTACAATTCGGTAATGACTAAACCATCTTCCCGAAACAAGGGCGTTAACTGAATGTAAAAGTCCAGTTTCCACCCTTGCCGAACTGGGCTGGAATTCTGGAGTTACAATTTGGCTGGACTCACGATTCTATACACCGTCCAATCAAACGACATTGAGATCTGTTTCGTAAACAACATTGAATTCAACGTGCAGATTTCGGTCGACTGTAGCATTTGCAAATATGTGTACCGTCAACTGGACGTCGACATATATACAGCAAATCTTTTCATGATTTTAATCAAGGTGCTCATAAGATTTCATTCACTTCGCGGGGTGAGACCCGTTGTATTACAATATATATCTTGATTATCGATCTGATCGATTTTGCTGGGTGCCGCCATTTTGTTTTGAACAAATGCAAGTGATATGAGCGATGGAAAATCTGATTGGGGACATACAAGGGACATAACTCGTAATAGCCACTGGTGGCGCTACGATCGAGCCTGAAGATTTCTGGAGTTCGGCAAGGGCGGAAAATGGACTTTTAGTTAACGCCCTTGCCATGGGAAGTTGAGATTAAACGGGAATATCATTTTAGGGATGTAAAATACATATAACTGAAGTAAACAAGCAAAATATAAAGTGGTAGTAGTAGCTTCGTACCTGTGGTTTAAACAGCTTTGGCTCACTGCCTAATAAGGCAGGGAATGATGCAAGCGGATACGGAGTAAGAGATGGAGGATTCTGAAAATGAGAAAAGGACGAAGCATGGTACTGAGCCCTCTCAAATGGTAAGCCGATAGGTGCTCGGAGTGGTTGGGTCTGGCGCTGGCGCTGGGAACTCATCACAGGAACAAGCAGGCGTAGGGGTGGTGGTGGGAGCCGATGCTGCAGCACCGGTAATGGTGGTGGTGGTAGTTGGTGGTTGTACTGAAGCCCTGGTAAGGTTGGGGGTGGTGTCTGGTGTTGAACACGAGAAATAGACGAAACGTCTTGTTCTGGCTGATACTGAGCGTGTGGGGAGACTGCCATTTGGTCTTGTGGTTGGTGTTGATGCTGAAACGTTGCAGACACATAGGGAAAGGATGGCGGTGAGGATGGATGTGCTTCTAACGTCGCTGCATTATTGGAGATGTCAGCTTGCCCTTCGTGGCGATCATAGATGATCTCCACGTGGTCGGAGTCTCTGTGCCTCTGGTCGGCCGCTGGATCGGACTGCTGAAATAGGAATATATCCCGTTAACGTTTATGCCATCAGTGGACTCTCTACATAGGTGGACCGCCTCCGTGGTCTTGTGGTAGAGCGTCCGCCCGGAGAGCGGAAGGTCCAGGGTCCGATCCCGGGCCGCGTCATACAAAAAGACGTTAAAAGATTGTACTTGTTGTTACCCTGTCTGGCGCTCGGCATTAAGGGGCTAAAACAAGGACTGGTCGTCTCGGAGTCAGTATACTGTGTCTGAGTGGGGTATTCATGTTAAACTGCGGCATGGTATCTCAGTGAGCTAGCACTATAAATCGGCATCAGTCCGGACTAGTACAAGCAGCCACACACACACATACACGTGCATGCACGTCGCTATATAAGTGCAATAATCTTGGACGCGACGTTAAACCCAATTTCACCTCACCTCTACATAGGTGAATGAGTGAGTGAAGTGGGTAAATGAATGAGGTTTCCGCCACGCCTACGAGACTCAACCCTCCACAGCGACTAGCAAATTTACACAACCATCCAATCGCCTCGGAACAACACTTGTTGCAAAACATAAACTTACTTAAGGTACAGAAATCATATTGGACACATACTGTCCCAAGGAGTACAAACGGTGTGTTAAATCAAATAAAGCTCATTTCAATCCCATTGAATTAGGTTTGTTTATTTCCGTAAGATACCTCTCTGAAGGTCGCATAGATGAACCCTTAGAGCACATTGACCGTCCAATCAAAATACAGAATACGTTGGTTATTGAGAAAATCTATTCTTTCTAAAACGCTTCGGCTTCGGAAGTTTCAATCGTAACAAAAAATAAAACGTTAAGGCCAGAGTGTAATCAGTGTCGATAATCTGCCGAAACAGATTCCATTGGGCATATATAAGGCAAACTAGTGGCGAAAACAATATGAATGTATAACTGACATCCTCAGCGAGCCTGACCACCAAATCACGTTAGTCGCCTTTTTATGCAAGCATGGGTTGCTGAGGACCATTTATTCCCCGGAACTTCAAGGGGAGCATGGTTGTGATCATTGGGCGAGTTTAACATGGAAAGAAAGTTTAGTGTCGTGAAACAAGCACGTACGGAGACAAACCAAGTATCATAAAGAAGGTGAATGTGGGATTCGAACCCACAACATACATCACGCCACGCCTTAGGGATGCACGATGGACATTTAATTTCATTTCTGAATCGAAGACCATTTCTGACCCGGATGTTCCTGGGCCTGCTGTGCTAGATCGTCACCTTCAGTGTCATCAGGTAGACCGCCTCCGTGGTCTAGTGGTAGAGCGTCCGCCCGGAGAGCGGAAGGTCCGGGGTTCGATCCCCGGCCGCGTCATACCAAAAGATGGTACTTGTTGTTACCCTGTCTGGCGCTCGGCATTAAGGGGCTAAAACAAGGACTGATCGGCTCGGAGTCAGTACACTGTGTCTGAGTGGGGTATTCATGTTAAACTGCGGCATGATATCTCAGTGGGCTAGCACTATAAATCGGCATCAGTCCGGACTAGTACAAGTAGCAACACACACACACACACACACACACACACACACACAGACGTGCATGCACGACGCTATATAAGTGCAATACTCTTGGACCCGACGTTAAACCCCATTTCACCTCAACTCATACACATACAGATATTTACATAGTTATAGACAGATTAATGAGTTACGACCAGTCGATTGTTTTGTCGTTGCTAGTATGTTTGGTTAAATAGATATACAATAATAGAAACGACAAAGCCCTTTCCATATCTATAAGAAATCATTACAAAGCAGAGGGATATAATCCCTGTCACATATTGCATCATCAGATACCATTATACAAACACGCAGATACAGGTGATCAAACAAATGTCGTTATAAACCAAAGTGTATGTGGCTGCCGTCACGTCGTGCGGGAGAAATCCCCCACCGACATGGCCCCTCCAAAGTTCAGACTTGAACTTAATGTTGTATTTCTTCACCCATGGGATTATAATGTCCTTTAGTTAAAATTGAGCATTCTTAGCAAATTTGGACCCATGAAGATTCGGGGTAGAATTGGTCTTCAGCAACACATGCTTGCCGTAAAAGAGTCGACTAACGGACCGGGTGGTCAGGCTCGCTGACTTGGCAGATGCATGTCATCGATCCCAATTGCATGGATCGATGCTCATGATGTCAATCACTGGATTGTCTGGTCCAGACTCGATTATTTACAGACCGCCGTCATATAGCTGGAATATTGCTGAGTGCGGCGTTAAACAACAAACCAACCAATCTTAGCATGTTTAACATATGGTAAACCATGGATAGAAGTTTGGAGGAATCAAAACTTTTCAATGTGTCAAGCTTACAGCGGTATAACGATCAAATATGGTTTATCTTACCTCATCTGAACCTCTGACCAGGTCTGTAAAAAAAATAAACCGTTTAATTCGAGAGGATGTTTTTTCTTAATAATAATGAAACACAAAACCGAGTACGATTCCGACAATATCACAAGCACGTATTTATGAATTGCTATGCAATATTGATGTTACCAGGTATTCGCTAAAAGGTGACCATAATTTGTTTAAGCTGCCCCAACGATGGCACATCACAAATACATATAAAAGCAACTCAATTATTCTCAAATATTGAGTGAGTGAGCGAGTGAGCGAGTTGGGTTCACACATATTGAGTGAGTGAGTGTTTGGTTGATGTTTAACGCCGCACTCAGCAATATTCCAGCTATATGAAGGCGGTCTGTAAATAATCCAGTCTGGACCAGACAATCCAGTGATCGTGGGAATCGATCTACGCAAATGGGATACAATGACATGCATGAAACAAGTCAGCGAGCCTGACCACCCGATCCCGTTAGTCTCCTCTTCCCACAAGCATGGGTTGCTGAGGACCTAATCTAACCCGGATCTTCACGGGTGGAGTGAGAGAGTTGGGTTTGACGTCACAGTATTTCAGTTATGTCACAGCGTTTCAACTGTATATATTATTCACGTGGGAAGAAAGTCAAACGTGATACAAATGATCGTAGCTGTTGTCCCACTGAGTTGAAAAACCAACGAGCACGGGTATGATATAGCCTGAGGCAGTTTCCATTTTTTCATGTAACTTTATGCATAAAAACCCACTCTCATATTACTTTTAACAAACAAAATGAAACATCAGTAACAACAATGGAAATAGTGTTTCAACAGATGACGTACGGTAATGACGAGTAGGACATTCATCCAACACTGTAACGCTATACGCAGGCAACCACAGTGACAGCAATGCGGAAGAAAGAAACGCGTACTCGTGCGTCATTACGCTTACAAAACATCGGAGCAAATTCATCAAAAATTGATTACGTGCACGTTTACACCCGGCAATGATTAAACGCAATTGATTCTGTTATAACGGTACCCAAGTTACAAGATACAAAGACATTAGTTGATTTATAATAATATTTATTATGGAAGATAAGCATAACACATATACTGTACATTACCGTTTGACATTCTGACTGCATTGAGTATAAACAAGAGGCGACAAAATATCTCGCTGCTTCAGAAAAGCTTGTTCTAGGGCATGACGATCAGATTTTCTGGTCTGGGAAGGAAATACTTGATCTGCCTTACATAGTGCTATTATGGCTTTTCCTGGAACTGGACAATAGGATAAAAAGCCAAATCGAAACGAAAGTAACCTTTGGATTCATGGTTGTAGATTGTCATCGAATTTACGAGGATCACGATTAATGTTATAAATAACACTTACCACAGACATATTCAAATGCTCGAAAAGCTAAATCCATGTTCTGTCAAGTGAACAGGTGCGTGATCAAGGCTGTATCAGCTGTTTGACGGTGTTGATTTCATGTCGAGTTCAGAAGTGCATATCACGTGATTGTTGGCTCATTTCCAAGAAATGAACGTAAAATTAACTAGGTGGGCGTGTACTTAGTAGTGCACGGTCGATGTGTATACTGTCGCACTAAAGCTGTATGTATTGCCTTACGCTCTGTGCAGTATAGGACCGTAGAGTATGCTATAAACCGAGGAAGAATAATTATGAGTGAGTGAGTTGGGTTTAACGCCGCTTTTAACAGTATTCCAGTTATATCGCGGCGTGTCAGCTTAATGTGGGAGGAAAGCCCGAAGTGATGCAGGTCTCAGACGTTTACCACTTCGGGGAAACCCACGACCACGGGTATGGTGCTGACAAACCTAGAAACATAATCGGGGCGAACCGGGATTCGAACCCACAATCATAGGTTTCTGGCGTGTCCAAGGGACGCAACTCTGCAAAGCGAATCGCGGCGCCTTAGACGACTGGGCCACCCGTGCCCCCGAATAATTATGAAACAGTCACACGGTCAGCACATACCAAATGTGTTGAATTGTGTGTGGTCCTGTGGTCTATGGCCCCACAATGCACTGTTCTATTTATATATGTAACATAAACATTACCAAGTGAGCTGATTGCCATAGAACGCTGCATGCGACGCCTGGGTAAGCTGGTGATCAATTTCTTCATGGAGATATAGATTACTGCACAAGTTGCTGTCAGATCCGGGGTAGAATAGGTCTTCAGCAACCCATGCTTGCCGTAAAAGACGACTGTGCTTGTTGTAAGAGGCGACTAACAGGATCGGGTAGTCAGGCTCGCTGACTTGGTTGATGCATGTCATTGTATCCCAACTGCGTGGATCAATGCTCACGATGTTAATCACTGGATTGTCTGGTCCATATGCGATTATTTACAAACCGCTGTCATATAGCTGAATGCGGCGTTAAACAACAAGCAACATCAACATGTACCATTTATCTAACAATGAGTTTCATCTGTGTACTGTTTCTTGCACACACTAAAATCCCTCCATTTTAGCATCGAATCGATGCATATTTTGTTTCTTGTCAGATAGCAGTGGCGCTTTAACAAATAACACAACGGTCATGAGTGACGTCATCCTGCACACTCCGGCGCAGTGGTGACAGTATAACACGTGACCAGAATTTGCGAATCGCGTGACCAGACTTTTCTCTTGTTTGTTAACAAACGCGCTTTTTCAGAAATCAGAATAGAACGGACAAATGCAAGTATTGCATGACTAAATATTAAGACATCAAAGTGACCGTATCGCTAGCTCTCCGTAGGGCTTCGAGGACAGCACGTGGAGCCGTACAACCAACGTAAACATAGGATAACGACGCAAACGGAAATAGTTTTTCATGTTTTAGGATATATGTTTTCTAGTTATGTAGACTTGTCAAAAATGAAACAGATGAAAAACATATGCAATGTCTTGAATGGACTGTGTAAGATGTGACAAATTGTCACATGGCGCTGGCCTGTGGCAGAGGTACGAGACTGGTCGCATGGAACTCTGGGTAGGAGAGTGGTCATCCGCAAGATCTGTGGATAATCAAGGCGATGATGATAATGCATAGTAGATTAGATCAATGTACATTTATTAAGACTCCAAAATCACTGTGTTTCGACACAGACGTAGGTGAATTCGATTGGATGAATGAATTACAATCAGAAGAGTTGTCCGTCATAATCTGACATTAGGTCATCACCATGGAGTAGCCAATCATGGACCTGGAATTCGATCTCACACTTATGTTTGTTACCAGATATCTTAACTGGGTTTCTCACCCACAGGTTTGTGAGAAACCTTGATTCAAAAGGGTCACTGTTATTTGTGGTCAAGTTACTGGCCCTTCTCCTTCTCTCCCCCCTCACGCTCGCCCCACTATGGTACTACGTTAACACGCTCGCCCCACTATGGTACTACGTAAACACGCTCGCCCCACTATGGTACTACGTTAACACGCTCGCCCCACTATGGTACTACGTAAACACGCTCGACCCACTATGGTACTAAGTAAACACGCTCGCCCCACTATGGTACTACGTTAACACGCTCGCCCCACTATGGTACTACGTAAACACGCTCGACCCACTATGGTACTACGTAAACACGCTCGCCCCACTATGGTACAAAGTAAACAGACTCGCCCCACTATGGTACTACGTTAACACGCTCGACCCATTATGGTACTACGTAAACACGCTCGCCCCACTATGGTACTACATTAACACGCTCGCCTCACTATGGTACTACGTAAACACGCTCGCCCGACTATGATACTAAGTAAACAGACTCGCCCCACTATGGTACTACGTAAACACGCTCGCCCCACTATGGTACTACGTAAACAGACTCGCCCCACTATGGTACTAAGTAAACACGCTCGCCTCTCTATGGTACTACGTAAACACGCTCGCCCCACTATGGTACAAAGTAAACAGACTCGCCCCACTATGGTACTACGTTAACACGCTCGCCTCTCTATGGTACTACGTAAACACGCTCGCCCCAAAATGGTACTACGTTAACACGCTCGCCCCACTATGATACTACGTTAACACGCTCGCCCCACTATAGTACTACGTAAACACGCTCGCCCCACTATGGTACTAAGTAAACACGCTCGCCCCACTATGATACTACGTAAACACGCTCGACCCATTATGGTACTACGTAAACACGCTCGCCCCACTATGGTACTACGTAAACACGCTCGCCCCACTATGGTACTAAGTAAACACGCTCGCCCCACTATGATACTACGTAAACACGCTCGACCCATTATGGTACTACGTAAACACGCTCGCCCCACTATGGTACTACGTAAACACGCTCGCCCCACTATGGTACTACGTTAACACGCTCGCCCCACTATGGTACTAAGTAAACAGTCTCGCTCGACTATGGTACTACGTAAACACGCTCGCCCCACTATGGTACTACGTTAACACGCTCGCCCCACTATGGTACTACGTTAACACGCTCGCCCCACTATGGTACTACGTAAACACGCTCGCCCCACTATGGTACTACGTTAACACGCTCGCCCCACTATGGTACTAAGTAAACACGCTCGCCCCACTATGGTACTAAGTAAACACGCTCGCCCCACTATGGTACTACGTAAACACGCTCGCCCCACTATGGTACTACGTAAACACGCTCGACCCACTATGGTACTACGTAAACACGCTCGACCCACTATGGTACTACGTAAACACGCTCGCCCCACTATGGTACAAAGTAAACAGACTCGCCCCACTATGGTACTACGTTAACACGCTCGACCCACTATGGTACTAAGTAAACACGCTCGCCCCACTATGGTACAAAGTAAACATACTCGCCCCACTATGGTACTACGTTAACACGCTCGCCCCACTAAGGTACAAAGTAAACAGACTCGCCCCACTATGGTACTACGTAAACACGCTCGCCCCACTATGGTACTACGTTAACACGCTCGCCCCACTATGGTACTAAGTAAACAGTCTCGCTCCACTATGGTACTACGTAAACACGCTCGCTCCACTGTAGTACTACGTATACACGCTCGCCCCACTATGATACTACGGTAATTTGCAGAGTCACATGCATTATCTGTCTATAAATAAGCCTTATCCTGAAAGTTTAGTATTATCTGAGGTGTTCGTCACTGTTGTGCAACCGGTTCCCGGCGTGTAATGACCCACTTACAGAGTCAACAAAGCGGCCTCACGCATTTCCTTTAACCAGGTTATACCGATACTGAAATGTCACCGCTACAGGTTTAATCAATGTTTATTCATGTCATTTGTAAAGGACATGTCTTGACATTATATGTTAAAGTTATGGATATATATATCCATAAATTTAACATAGAACGTCACCATAGAAAGGCTCACTTGATATATATATATATATATATATATATATATATATATATATATATATATATATATAATATATATATATATATATATATATATATATATATATATATATATATATATATATATATATAAACTAATGTCCAAAAGAAACGATACCACACATTTTTCTAAATATTTTATTATGAAGAGTTAATTTTCGTCTGAAAAGGTACTTTTGCGTATCCTATGTTCCAAACCAAACGTATTCGGTCGATAAAACCGGGAACATTTGATCAATTGAGAAAAACGCTCACGGTGGACATACCCGGTACTAACGTGACTTTGAGACGTGTGTTGTGACATTTTCCACACTTGACTCATCAACTGTGTTCAAATGAAATTTTCATTTTGGACCCCCCGCGTCTTTACATGTCTGTCCTCATGATTGTAAAGGATTGATTACAATGAACTTTTGTACACATACTGTGAAAACGTGACTCCCAAGTCATATACCAATTTGAAATGTCTGTATCGTTTAGTTTTTTCGTAATGTCCTTTCAAACACGTGGTAGCGTTTCTTTTGGACATTAGTTTATATATATATATATATATATAAAGTGAACCTTTCTCCACCCAACTTGGTCAACTTTTCTCCCTACAACCAGGGTCACAATACATGCAGTGTGTTGGAGGATCAACATTCAACATTCCCTATTGTAAATACGGGTAGGTATAGGGTGTGGCCTGTAAAGTTATCACTGAGGGATGAGACATTTATCATGTTCTGACTAAAGGGGATAGCTTAACCAGGTAGAACAAGAGACGACTAGTACAATATACACATATTTATTTACATGAACATCATATGTGATTAGGTAGCTAACAAATATATTGTTTGTTTGTTTATTGTTTAACGCCGCTCTCAGCAATATGAACGTGCGGAAGACTTTATAATACATACTCCTATGTCATGTGGAGATGGACATGTTGAATGGAAAAATATAACTCCATCTTGACAAGTACGTGCAAAATTTCATGCATGCAACTTCAGTACTTTCTGAGACTGAAAACTGCCCCCATCGAACACACTATGCACAAAATAAAATAACATGGATCAATAACAAATACATGACGGAACCAATTTTCGAACTCGGTCTTGACAGATTTCTCTTGGATAAGCTTGCAAACTCTCATTCAAGTAAGTTCAGTAGTTTCTGAGAAAATCTGTCTCCACTGTCTCCTGTATGCACTAAGTTGAAAAGCACGGAGCAAGGCCCACAACTCTGTA